GCAGATTGTGAAGAAAAATCAACACCCAAATTGCTATCAAAAAGAAACCTAAATATTGGGCAAACTCACAGCGTATGGGATACAATATCAAACTCCGTTAAAGATGTCAGAAAAGCAACAACAAAAGTACGCATGCTAACTGGAACATATATGCTTCAAACCCTAAAAGTCAAATTCAACCAAGCTGAGGTAGACCTAATTGCCCTACATGTAAACTTGAAGCTGAAGATCTTCAACACATTCTAACAAGCTGCCAAGCGTATAGACACATTCGAAAATCTCATTTTCAACAGATAAAAGAATATGTTGTTAGTAAAATTGGAAGTAGAGTATGGACAAACAATTTCAATATAACAAAGTGGCTATCACAGAACTATTGATAGACTGTCAAAGTTTTGTTGAAAGGAACATTCTCCCAAATGACAAAGTGGTTCTAAGACCCACAATTGAAATGAAATCAAGGGACTACTGCCACCTAATCCACATGAAAAGAATGAACATTACTAATGCGTAGCTAGCGTGTGGAATGAGGGGGTAAATCTCTGTGTATGGTCAAGTCAGTCTTATATCTTAAATCTTAAAAGTAGTATTCTATATGAACATTATTAAACCAATTAAAATAATACTACTCAAGCATCATAGTCATGATTTTAGATTTTAAAATCGCATTTAATAAGAACACTTACTTTAATAATTATGATTCCCAAGCCAAACGAACATGTAATTTATATTTATCTCTTGGCATTTTAAACTAACGCTAAACCAATTAAAATAATACTACTCAAACATCATAGTCATGCTTTTAGATTTTAAAATTGCATTTAATAAGAACACTTACTAATTTTATAATTATGATTCCCAAGCCAAACGAACATGTAATTTATTTCTGTCTCTTGGCATTTTAAACTAACGCTAAGCTATTTTAAAAACAATGCTTGTCAAAACAATCAAATACATATTTTTAGATTTAAAAATGATAACATTGTGAACTATTATTACAAGTGTAAGCGTAATTTCATTCCACTGTGTTTTTGGAAAGTTTGCTATAGCTTGCTATAGTAAAAACTTTCCTAAGGCATCGGCCTCAAACCGGAAGTGACAGACTATCTTACTTTATGATGTGTGTTCTACTCCTAGATAATGTAGTACTGGTGTTTGACAACTAATTCTAGGAAGATGTTTTTGAAATTTTGAGTTACTTCTATTTTGATTAGCTTACAGCTTGAATAAAAATGTACTGAATGTTCATCGATAATTCAAATAATTCAACTTCATTTTGAAAATGGCTATCACAAACACTACTTCGCGGATCTGCGCTGCGCGGAAATTAAAATCAATACACATCTACACGAGACAGCAGTTTCTACGTTATGCTTTTATCTGTATTCCCCAGACATGCGTGAAATCCATATCAACGGGAGTACTATAATACCGGTTTCAGGGGTTTCCTCCCGTCCTCCGGTTGAAGAGAAAATAAATACCGTGTTTAAAATATTTCATGAATGAACATTTTTCGACGCTTACTTCGATTTTTACAATGTTTATTAAAGACGTAAAAGCCCGAGTGTATCGAAAGTATCCCGGTATCTCATCTCGGCCCACAACAATCTCGGACTATAATAAACTCGGCCTATTACATAATCGGCATCAGAAAATCGGACTATAACAAAATTCGTAATTATACTACTTGCTATTAAGCCTCCCAAACAAAGTTTGGAGACTTATTGTTTTGCCCAGTTCTTATTATTTTTCTTCTTGAGGTCTATTTAGGGGTATTTTGAGGGGCCAACAGTAGGAATGGATTTACTATAGAACCCTATGGGATTAATTTTTTTTACGCTTACACTTGTAATAAATTTTCAAATGACTATAACGTGAAAACAGTAAGTGATAGACACACGCGGTTATCAGTGATGATCACAGGATCATAAAACAAATCAAATGAAATATAGCGGGAGTCCCTCTGGATCAGCCCCACCCCCTCCTGTTTGAGAACTTGTAAACGGTTGAGATCCCCACCCCTAAACCAAATATATTCTTGTATGGGACAATAAAACAAGTCAAATGAAATATAGGGGGAGTCCCTGGGTGTCACCCCCCCCCCCCCCCCCCCCTCCTGTTTTGAGAACTTGTAAACGGTCAAGATCCCCACCCCGAAACCATATATATTCTTGTATGGGACAATAAAACAAATCAAATGAAATATAGGGGGAGTCCCTGGGTGTCACCCCCACCCCATCCTGTTATAATGAGAACTTTAAAATGGTCAAGATCCTCACCCCGAAACCATATATATTCTTGTATGGGACAATAAAACAAATCAAATGAAATAAAAGGCGAATCCCCTGGGGTCACTCCCACCCCTTCCTGGGAATGACTAATAATGGGAGCTTTGTTTGGGAGACTTCGTTACAGCATCATGTTACAATTATTTCTTGTATTAAGTAATTTTTTTTAAAGTCGGAAAAAAAGTTAAACAACAGATCTACACATTTACAACCTATTTGAAATATTACACATCTACCGTTGCAAAGTTTCCACAGGTGCTATCCAGCACTTTGATTATTCCGGGTAACTGTTTTTCACTAGAGAATATTGGATGTAAATAGTGTGAAAGCGTCGATATTGATATCGTTGTTTTGTTTATATTAGACCGGTTTTTTGTTTACATAAAATAATAGGTTAAAATTTGAATAATTTTCAAGGAACAAGTTTGATTAAGAGATATTGACATAGAAGTCTACCAAAACGCCAGTGCACAGAAAAACTTCGACAATCCAGTAATACGATGTATGCCAGTGTATGCAGCATTTTGCTAATAGTGCTCAGAACTAATAAAACTTGCAGAATTGTGCATGACCGATTAGTCCGATATTTGTCTTTTTGGGCATGCCCAGTTCTACAATTATCTGTACCCATTCATACCTGTAAATAAAGTATTATATTGTGTTATCATGTGTTCAAAATGAGTACTAAAACACTTCTTCAATATATGAATCTAAAATACTATAATGTGTAATAAATCCCGATTCAAAGCAGGAACATATATATTGATATACTGTTCCCAGTTCAAAGTAACTAGTGCAATCATTCCAGGTACAAAATCACTAGTGTAATCAATCACTAGTGTAATCATTCCTGGTACAAAAGCACTAGTGTAATCATTCCTGGTTCAAAACATTTGTGTGAACATTCCATGTATGAAAAACACTAGTTTACTGTGTCCATTTTTTACACAAATCAGTTATGCAAGTTTTAGTTAATTGAAATATCCCCCAAAAATACCGGTATCGGGTCCGTTCGCCCTAATTACATGTTTCGCCCTGGGTCCGTTCGCCCTGAGTCCGTTCGCGCATAGAGTCCGTTCGCCCACAGAGTCCGTTCGCCCTGGGTCCGTTCGCCCTAATTTTTATAAAAAAAAATAATATTAATGGTTTAATTTAAAGTTTTGTAATCTTATTCAGATATTTAAATGGTAAATATTAAAAATGTATATCTCCAAAATCATGAATAAACATTGAAATTAAAAAAAAAAGTTTTTTTTTTGGAGCATAGATACCAAGATTGAAATTTTGTACGCCAGACACACGTTTCGTCTACAAAAGACTCAACAGTGACTCTCGAATAAAAAAGTTAATAAGGCCAAATAAAGTACGAAGTTGAAGAGCATTGAGGACCCAAAGTTCCTAAAAGTTTTGCCAAATACAGCTAAGGTAGTATATTTCTGAGGTGGAAAAGCCTTATTATTCCGAAAATTCAAAGTTTTGTAATTTAGAATGCTGATTAGATATGATTACGATGTCTTTGATCTCACTGATTGTTGTAGTTATTGTTTTTGATGGATTAATAATGAAATTTTTTTTTTTTTAATAAACAGACATCTTGGAATGAGTTAAAACAGTGATGTAAGAATTGTAAGACATTAAAGGGAAATTGTTTTCGCCGCTTGGCTTCTCTGATCTCAAGGTGTTGAGTGAGTTGGATCTTGTTATACCTGTTTGGATTGTTTTGAAATTGTTACAAGGTTTCAAAAAAGATAAATTCATACAGATAACTTGGTCTCCAGTTCCTGAACACTCGATCTTCTTCTTCAAAATACTGTCCACATTCAACATGATGAATATTCTGGCAAGAATATTCAATGCAAATCAAAAGAAAAATAATTATCTGGTAGCATCAATACAACATAAATATTTCGGCGGAATTTTCAACAAACTTTAACATAATTAATTCAAATAATTTATATTATACAAGACAACAAAATAAAATAGAAATCAGGGCGAACGGACTCAGTGCGAACAGGAATTAGAGCGAACAGACCCAGGGCGAACAGGTATTAGGCCGAACGCGAACGGACCCGGATTTTTTTTATATATTTCCCCTTCGAAAAACTCTCTTTAGAATCTTATCATGCGTGGTGGATATTTTACACTAGACCCGGATTAACCTAGTGAATTTTTGTTGCTGGATAAAACACACTAGGAATTTTCATCCTCCGGATAAAGCACACTGGCGGAATCAAACCCCTGTTACTCCTAAACAGGAGGGAACTACGAAAGAAGAAGAAGATTTCCCTTTATGTAACTTCCTGTTAAGCTGGTTAGATTAGCGGCTTACATCTAACTCGAATAATTCTTTCATATTTTAATCCTTTAACTTATTAAACATATGGTAGAAACACCCCCATTGTCTCATTAAAAGGAATCAAAACAGTTTTTAAAATTAAAAATTTAAACCTAGATAGAATTATAATTGATGTAAATAGCACTTAATTTTAAACACTTGTTTTTAAAATTCACAATCTTACCTGTATATAAAGTTTTAAACTTAAGCACCCCACCACACTGTAAATGTATGTGTAAATATTTGATTAAGCACTAAACCTATATATCCCAAGTGGGAGTGCTCCGATATATAACGGAGGAAAATACCTGTAAAGAACAGAACAGAGCTGGTCCTCGACTGACTACTACACTCTGTTCATAAAGTGTAGTAGTCAGTCGAGGACCAGCTTAACTTCCTGTGTAAACAAATACTTGTTATTTTTTTTGGACAAGACAAGATGAAAGCAGTTTTATTAACTGTAAGGAAAAAATAATACTGCGAGTACTATAATATATAGTAAATTAGTCATGACAATTAATTTAATATGAACATTCTTTCTGTAGACATGTTGACATCAGAGGGTGGTAAATGGGGGGTCTGAACACGGAAACACGTGAAATAAAAATCGCAAAAACGTTGCACGGAAAATAAAAATCGGGAAAAACGAAGCACGAGATATAAAATCGTCAATATTTGGAAAAAATACTAGAAGTTATAACTCAGCAGTTCTTGAAGATCATGCAGTCATTATTAATCAAATCAAATCATTTTATTGCCTAATTAAAGGGCCCTTAAGGGCATATCAATTCACTACAAACCAGTAAAAGTCTGAAATGGCCTATATTTGTACTCAACTGTACTGATTTTTACTCGACCAGTCTGAATAGGTCTGAAATTTACTTGATAATACTCGACTGTAGTCTGAACCATACTTAACAGTCTGAACTTGTACTCGACCTTTACTCGACCAGTACTTAACCATTTTATTTTCATCTGAACCATGCTCGACCTAGTCTGAACCATGCTCGACCTAGTCTGAACCATACTCGACTTAGTCTGAACCATACTCGACCTAGTCTGAACCATACTCGACTAAGTCTTAACCAACCTAGACCTAATTTTTGTATCTATCTATTCTATTTCATCAATTTAGGAACTGTTTTAACTGCTATTTCCCCTGGCTATAAATTTGAACAACAATTTGAAATTTAAAATGTATTCAATATGGCATTGAAACCAAAATTTCACAATAAACATATTTATCAACACTTACATATATATATTTCGCTTTAAAATAAAAATAAACAAGCTGATCAAATAATCTCAAAACTGAATTGTGACTAATATTTTCAATGTTATTCAATTTTTTTTTAATGTTTCAGATATATTTTATGGTTACTGGACAATTTTCACCATTTACTTAAGCCTTGTATAGATTTATGGTGTCAGTTGAGTTTAGTTAATAATGCAGTGAACATTTTTTTTTAGTAAAATATATTCAAAATAGTATATAAAGCAACTTAATAAATTTTAAAAATCGCACTTTGTTTTGTAAGACCAAGAATTTAATATAATCATGATAATAGAACTTGAATGTAGGACAGAAAGTCACAGGACAAAAAGTCACGGACAAAAAGTCACGGACGAAAAGTCACAGGACAAAAAGTCACAATTCAGTTTTGAGATTATTTTTCTCTGAACAAGAAAACACTAAGTTTAAAAATAAATTTTTGATTTTTTCTTGAACTATAATATATGAAGCAACTTTGTAATTAAAATTTATTCAATAAATATCAATGATGATCAAATAATTGTTATGATAACAAAATGTCAAAGTGGTTTGGCACTTAAATGGCTTCATGGTGCCAAGAAATATATCATTTGAATGATTAAAATTTGATAATTTTTCATTTATCAAGGCTTATGAACAATTTCCTAAACTTAAAAATGAATGAATGTAAAAAAAGAAATTATTTAAAGATCTTTCTCTTATATATTCAAACAATTGTCAACAAATTATTTGTGACTTTTTGTCCTGTGACTTTTTGTCCTATCCAATTTGTGACTTTATGTCCTGTGACTTTTTGTCCTGTGACTTTCTGTCCGTTTACCTAGAACTTCCATAGCAATCCTTGATAACCATTTAAAAAAGGAAATGTGTTCCAAAGTTGCAGAAAAAAACTTATTTCAATTAAATTTAAATAACTTTTTCAAAATTAAAGACATGGCATACAAGAAGCACTTTAATAAGGTTTATTTACCTCGGTACATGTGTGTTTTACAGGTAAAAAGAAAGCCCTTTTTTTTCTTAAACTCGTGTATTACTTATCTAGTGAATTTAAAAGGCCTTGCGATTTAAGTTTTATAGGATGTTGCAATTTTTAATGAATGTTAATTAGAAATTAATACTCTCTGACCAGGTGTGGTCTTTTTAATGAGTTTGCCCCAAGCAGGAGGTATTACTTTATACTTTACCACTAATCAGAAGAAAAATTTTATTTATTTCTTTAATTTTTTTATCCCTTTCTGATATATATTATATATAATATATCCCAAATTATAATAAGAATAGATATATTTCTAATATAAAGTTGAACAATTTCAGTGATTTTTTGGCTGTTGTTACCTCATTAAAAAGATAATTATATAACTATTGTATGTAACCATGAAACCTATATAGTTTTTCTTAAGGAATTTAGGAAAATTAAGTTTAAAAAAAAAAAAAAAACACATGCCAAACAAGAAGCACCTTAATAAGGTTTTATTACCCTCAGTAAAGGTGTGGTTTTCAGTTTTTAAAAAATCTTTTTTTTTAACAAAACTCTCAAACTTTAAAATTAATATAATTATATTATTATATAAGATAATTTAATTTAACTATCTCTATTTGATAAATCTGAGAATCATGTAAGGATGTAAAAATATGTTTTTATATATATCTTTATTTCATTGTGGCTGTTGTCATGTCAGAAAAAAAGAAATTAATTTTAACAGCTAAATTTAAAAAAAAAGTATAGGTTTTTTGGTCAAGTATGGTTCAGACTGGTCGAGTATTGTTCAGACCTTTGGTCGAGTATGGTTTAGACTGAAAAAAATTGGTCGAGTACAGGTCGAGAATGGGTTAAGACTGTTTCAGACTGGTCGAGTAATAGTTCAGACTATTTTCAATGGCAAAATAAGGGTCAAGTACAAATCAGTACGGTCGAGTATGGTTAAGACTGGGGTCGAGTAATGTCTAGTAAAATTCAGACCAATTCAGACTGGTCGAGTAAAAATCAGTACAGTCGAGTACAGATATAGGCCATTTCAGACTTTTACTGGTTTGTAGTGATTACAAACAAGAAAATAGTAGACAAACATATATACATGTATACATCATTTTAGACAAAAACAATCATTAACATTATTTTATGATTAATATAACATGTACATAGATAAACAATTTGTGAGAGACAATTAACGGACATGAAGACTTTTAACGTTTGCTATAATAGTTGCATCTGATTTGAAAAAATATAATTCATAGAAAAACAATATCAGGGCTGACTTTGAATTAGTCCCGGTTTACTTTTTAATCAAATGTGGGACAAACACGAGAAATTAAGAGTAGGAACACGAAACACGGCAGTGATATTGTTTGCCTCAAATTACAGCCGAAATTCGGCTTTTTCCCCTAGAGAAAATTCCCAATTACTAAAAAAAATGGCTTAAAATTCCTCCCAAAAAGTTTTACATTTTCCCAAAACAGTGATGGCATTGGTAGTAATGATTGTAAATATCGTATTCATGTTATTATTTTGATATTAGAAAGCACTTTTGAGATCCGGTTTTCTGATCAGAATCATCATGGTGTTTGTAAAACATGTGGTTTTCAATGCATTAAGTACCATCATTGCTTCTGTTTCTTTCCCCTCTTCGAAAAGTACCTTTTAGGTTGAAAATGTCTTGACAACCAAAATATACATGAAAACAACAGTGCAAAAAAGACAGCAAAGGTCAGCAAAAAATCGCTGATGTGTTCAGAATAAAATATACAATTTTCCCAATTTCCATAAAAATATGCATTTTTCCCAATAAAAAACGGTAGAGGTAGTTTTGAAAAAAGACAACAATATCACTGCACGGTAAATAAATAAGGGAAAAATGAACTGATGAAGCACGCACATTGAACCAAAAACGAGAAATAAAATGTCAAAACACAAAAATACGTGAAACAAAAAGACAGAAAACGTTGCACGAAAATAACCCTTTACCACGTGCACCCTCACACCAGTTTACTTGAAATTAGAAAAAAACCTCTATATTTAGGTAAAATTACATAAAATACTTCTTTTAGATTTAAAAGCCACAGATAAATAGCATTCCTGCATCAAAACTTGCTTATTCAATCATGTTCATTATAAATCTGGAGCTATCATTTAAAAGGATGACAAAAAGATGTAACCTTTGACAGAACTTAAGAATTTATATGATCTTATAGCCTATACTACATTTTGTTCTTTACAATGTATCTTACTTCAAATTAGATAAATAAGGAAGATTTACTGAAAGATTTTCCAAATAAATAATTTGAGATTTGGTGTAAGAGTTTATGAGATAGTAACCAAAAACCTGCAAATGACCAATGCAAACAACAACAAAAAAACCCTTTAGAGACCTCTATACAGTCTAATGATATTATATCAATCCAATTGCTCTTTCCTTGACTTCAAGGACAATCACTATCATTTTTGTTCACAATGTTTGTTTCAGTCTCTCAAATATTATCAGTAATTATGGACTCTACCTTTAGATATAAAAATAAGAAGATGTGATATGATTTCAATGAGACAACTATCCACCAGAGATTAAATTAAGTAACAGTAGATGTAAACAACTATATGTCTCTGTACAGTCTTTAACAATCAGCAAAACCAGTACTGTCTAGTAATTTATAAAAGGTCCTGACATGACAAAATTCAAAGCAATTAATATGAGAAAACCAATGGCCTGGTAAACATATATGGCCAAAACAATAAATGAAAAACAAACATGATAGACAGTGACCAACGACAACTCCTGAAGTACTTTGAGTGAGTGAGTGAGGAGCCTGACTTTGGACAGGTACATCCAGAATGTGGTAGGGTTAATCATTTTTATGAGCGCACCTTTCACATCCATGGTACAGCTGTGTTACAGCAAATAAAGCTTGTAGTTAAGAACTAACTGTAAAAATCAGTTGAACATGTTGAAAGAGACTTGATAATCAGACTCGAGCTAAAAAAAATAACTATCAGAAAGACTGAAGACACAAAGTACCAATTAAAGAGTACCTGCAGGTACTGAAAGCTAGTTCAAAGCCAATTACAACAAATAATAAATTATGTTTCTCAAGTTAAATATCAAACAGTACACATCCAAATTGATTGAGTGTAAACATGGTAAAGCTATGTTATAAATATGACCTTGTGCAAGCCATTATATAAGTACCAAGGATGTAGGACAGTAAATGCTCATAAATGTATACATGTAGGAATACATAGTTACAATGTAATTATGAAATTTATTGTTCAACATGTTTGAAGATCAAAGTAGGTTGATGTTTGGAGCTTCAGTCTGTTTCTTTCTGATTATGATTTTTTTTACAATCATAGATGACAACCTGTCAGTTTCTGATTAAAATGAAATTCCAGTTTGTTATCTTAGTTTAGATTTACAGTCATTCATAATTCAATGTTTCAGTTTCTCAACATCTTGAGACTCTTAACATTTTATTTTTACATGTATTGTAAATTCAGAAATTATTGCGATGTTTTTATTATTGCGAAAAATGCGACAGCGTTATAATCGCAATAATTTAAACTCGCATTTTGATATTTTTATATGAATTAAACAGGATTGTTCTCAATATCGCAAAAATTTGAAACGCATTTTAGTCTCAAATGGCAAAATCGCAATAATTAATGCACGCAATAATTTCTGAATTTACAGTAAACCATTTATAAGATTGATTATATTATTTAGCTGTGTTTAAATCTGTTTAATTATTTTCTAGATAATTGCTGTAGTATTGAGCTGTAACAGTTACAGAACAGATGCTGACGATGTCAAGAAAGTCCACATCATATTTATGAATCATTTAGGTAGAGAAGATTGAAATATCTTTATAGTAATGAATTCAGATCACACTAGTAAAACAAAAAATTAAACCTTTCTTTTCTATACTAATTTTAAGGGGGTAATTGTGTTGACACATCTTCTGTACTCCTATTTTAAAAGAGAAGCAGAAGATATCTTTCAATATGACTTTCTTGAAATTTTGATCAGGCTTCATGTGAACATGCTATATATACTATGTGATGCCTTTTCACATTCATTGCTCATCAACTTCCTATTTACTAAATACTTATATATTCTATCACATAATACATGTAAAAGCCATATATGAAATTTTCATCTCATTTTTCTAGGGAATTAGAGCTTCTTGAAATTTGTTGTCAGGTTTCATGTGAACATACTTTACTGTGTGATCCATTTTCACATTTATTGCTCACCAACTTCCTGTTGAATGAATACTTATATATTCTTACACACAATGACCATATATGAAAAATCTGTCACATTTTTGACGAGCCTGTGACTTTTGTCGCAAAAGCGAGACATAGCGATCCTACATTCCGTCGTTGTCGGTGGCAGCCACAAATATTCACTCTGTGGTTAAAATTTTTCAAATTTTAATAACTTTCTTAAACTATGCTGGATTTCTACCAAACTTGGACAGAAGCTTGTTTATGATCATAAGATAGTATCCAGAAGTAAATTTTGTAAAAATAAAATCCTGTTTATCAGTATTTTACTCGAAAATGGGCTTAGTTTTTCTGCCAGTTAACATTACATTCACTCTGTGGTTAAAGTTTTTCAAATTTTAATAACTTTCTTAAACTATCCTGGATTTGTACCATACTTGGACAGATGCTTGTTTATGATCATAAGATAGTATTCAAAAGTAAATTTTGTTAAAAAAAAAAATCCTGTTTATCCGTATTTTACTTATAAATGGACTTAGTTTTTCTGCCAGTTAACATTACATTCACTCTGTGGTTAAAGTTTTTCAAATTTTAATAACTTTCTTAAACTATCCTGGATTTGTACCATACTTGGACAGAAGCTTGTTTATGATCATACGATAGTATTCAAAAGTAAATTTTGTTTAAAAAATATCCTGTTTATAAGTATTTTACTTATAAATTGATCTAGTTTTTCTGCCAGTTAACATTACATTCACTCTGTGGTTAAAGTTTTCAAAATTTTAATAACTTTCTTAAACTATCCTGGATTTGTACCAAACTTGGACAGAAGCTTGTTTATGATCAAAAGCTAGTATCTAGAAGGAAATTTTGTAAAAAAAAATTTCCTGTTTTACCATATATTACTTATAAATGGACTTAGTTTTAATTTTCTTCCAGTTGACATTACATACAGTCTGCAGTTAAAGTTTTTAAAACATTTATAAGATTCACAAACCATCCTGGATTCTTACCAAGCTTGAACAAAAGCTTCTTACATTCAAAAGATAGTATCTAGAGGAAAATTTTTAATAATTATTTCCCCATTTTTGTTGAGCCTGCGACTAAAGCAAAAGTAGGCGAGACACTGGGTTCCGCGGAACCGTTACGAATTTTTCTAATACGAAACAGATCAGATCTAGAGCACCCTTAAATTTGGTATCAAATTAACGTAAGCATGCTATCCCATGTGAAGCATTTTCACATCCATTGCTTTTCATCTTCCTGTTTACGGAAAACTTAAAGCAGGGGTATCTTTAGTGAGCAATAGCTCACATGTCAACTTGTTCATTTGTAAAAAAAATTACAGGTAACATTTTTACTTAACTGAATATGTCTGAATAAAAAAAAATTTTTAAAACCTGATATTGTTCTCTTTGATTATATTACCAGTACATACTTTTTTTACAGATGTAGGATATGATGGGTTGCTGCCAGAAGAATTGGGCTTTATCAACAATGTCCTCAATAAATATTTTGTGGAGTATTTCCCAAGAGCCATCACATTATCAGAACAACTAAGGATACTGGGTTATTATGAGAAGTTTATATACACAACCCATCCCTGGCTCGTGTCGCTTTACTTGAACTGTCCACCTAATCTGATTTTATCTGGTATAAAGTTAAAGGTATATATATATATATATTGCTGATGGTACTGATTATGACATGATTTATGTATCTGTGCAAAATCAATAGTTTTCACTAGGAATAGATTACTTTAGCTGTATTTGGCAAAACCTTTCTGAATGGATGATCCTCCACTCTCTCCAACTTTTTATTTTTATTTTATGATTTATTCTGCCTTTTTTAACTTTTTTAATTCAAGTGTCACTGATGAGTGTTTTATAGATGAAACGCATGTCTGGCGTACAAAATTTTAATCCTGGTAGTTTATTTTTTCACATTCCATCTTTCAAAATTGTTTCCCCTCTGACTGAAAAGTAATAATGCAATTATACCATATATTCTTATCTTTATAGTGTAGTATTAGATAAGAGTTCCTTTTGAGAGGATTTAATTTTATAAAAACACATGAGATTTTTTTTTGAATTTCATGTAATTGAATATGAAAACTATTATTTCACAAAACATTGCAAGCTGCGATTTAGGCACAAATTAGAACATGAATTTAAACAACTCACTTTGAATGCTTTGAGGGACATTCTTGGCTCTTTGATAAACAAAACACCAGTTGCACAGTTATGATTATATAAATACTTTCATGTTTATTATAATAGTGTCCAAATGCAACTGAAATAAGCACATTTGTAAATGCTGTGAAGCGAGGAGACATCACATGGCATGCTGGACCAATGAATATGCAGTTTGAGGTTATGGATGTTGAACTTGCTAGATTTGGGATCAAGCTGAGTAAGGATTTGGATGACAAAATGAACATTGTCAGGAAATTCAGAACACTAAGCCAAAGAGATGTTCCAGGTACTGAAGGTTTTATTATTAAATAGATAAAGAGAATGCAGATACATATATTACTACAGAACTTATCTTCGCATATATGTAAACTACACTGAGACTACATTTTTAAAATGTGGCTTTGTTAAAATGATATGAGATTAGATTACTGGCTTTAAATAAGAGTTTTTTTCCATAGATACTGGGCTCAATATATATATAGTGCTTGGCAAAAATTAAATTTTCAAACTACAGTTTCCCAGTGTGTATTTGTATTTTATAATAAAAGCAGTTTAAAAAATATCTCCTCAACTTGTATATGGTCTTTGACAAGATTTTGTTGTATTTTTCATCAGCTTCCTGTTTACTAAATGTTTCAATTTCTTTATATATCACCACAATTTTGTCATTTAATATTTAAAATATTTCATAATTTTGAAATAAAAGTTGATATTTAATGTTATATTTTCCTTTTAATATATCAAAATTTCAAATTTAATGAACAAAGTAATTATTTATTAAAAGGACATTTATCAAACATCAATCATGTCAATCAATGGATATTTATTAAAATGAAAATGCTTAGAATTTAAGATTAATTCCAATTAAATTTGAGGTGAGGTTTCAAAATTCCTCAAAAAATCAACAGAAAGTGTGCAGTTGATCATTTAGGAAAAGAAAAACTGCCTTTATTTGAAATAATGTAAATTAATTATTCAATGTGAGAGGGTGAAAATTGCAATATTTAGAACTCATGTTTTTCTTTTTCACATTAATAATCTAGCATATTATAGAAATCACATTAACGATTCTTACATTATCACCAGTTGTGGATGATTCACAATATATCAGGCATGCATCAAGTTCTAAAGTTACATTTTGTTTAGAAGTTAAGTATTGCTTCATATAACTATGAATGCTTCATTCAAAATTATATTTTTGTAATTTTCATTCGTTACAATAATTTAATCTTCAATATTGGATGAAACGGTACACAGATGGTAGAATGTATTGCATTACTGGTACTTATTTCATGTTTTATCAGCAGATTATATTATTTTGATATTTTGTCACACAAGGATTAGGATATTCAAATTATGTTTTTGTTTTATTTGTTTTATGTTTAATTTATTTTTTTAGCAATGACACAGGGGATTGTGCCTATTTTAGAAGAGGAGGGTGTGGCAGCCATCAGTGTTGGTGTCAATACAGTAACAGCCCCTCCTGCTGTCCCTCCAATTTTCAGATGGAAATTTCAGAACTCCTCTGTAATTGGAATATGGCATCCAGGTTAGCTAAATAGGATTTTATTGATCTAGGTAACATTAGGAATCATTACCTATGTCAATTCGGATTGTAAAATTTAGTAATAAAAATTTGATAAGTCTTCTTAAAAATCAATAAACATTGGTATAAAACCTTTTGATTAACTTCAGAAATAGTTTCATGAAACTTCAATCCACTCAAAAGTAACTTCAGAAATGGTTTCATGAAACTTTAATCCACTCAAAAGTGTAACATACAGCTGATTAAATGTGAAACATTATTGCATAAGACAAAACCAGTGATCTGATTTCTGCTTAAAACTATTAAAGAAAAACAAATATCTAAGAGAATTTGCTGTTAGTGAAAGATAGTTCAAAGCCCAATTTCAAATGATTCCTATAAACAAATAAACCTTTTCCTAGACTATGAAATTTTAGACTTTAATCATATTGCAAAACTAATTTACATTCTACAAACCAACATTTTTTTTTTATCAATTTTAAAAGTATTAAAGTTCAATTATAATTTTATACTTTGATTACTTAAACTCTGCTTGTAGATGATTGTAAGTGTACACTACCTCTTCCCTGTGTAAATCACATTGAACTAGTCAGGAAAACATGGGACTAAAAAAAATCTGGCTATAAATTAGTTTCTCATGTGCATGTTTCTACCAAAATAAAGGCCCATTAGCTGGTGCAGTTAGTACTTTTGTTCTTATTATTTGTAAAATATCATCCATGAGGTGTTATATAGGACAAACTTATCAATTTTCGTAGTTATTGTCTCGCCTGCAATGAAAGTCGCAGAAAACAAGGCATAGAGATTGCTTTTCTGGCAATGGCTTTAGTGACTGCTTTGGCGACGACTGCATCAACAATTAAGTTTTCTGCTTAAGTGAGTTTGATAGGAACTACTTGTGATAGATCATTGATATTTAATATAAAGTTGCATTACTATCAGTACATATCAGTTTACCGACTATTTTGAGGCCCTGCCCCCTAGGTCCTGGTCCAGTGACTTTGAATTGATTAGCAATTTACAATGTTAAGTTTTCTGCTTAAGTTAGTTTGATAGGATCTACTTTTGATAGATCAATGATATTTTGTATGAAGTCGCATTACTATCAGTACATATCAGTTTGATGACTATTTTGAGACCCTGCCCCCTAGGTCATGGTCCAGTGACTTTGAATTAATTAACAATTTTCAATGTTAAGTTTTCTGCTTAAGTTAGATTGATAGGAACTACTTTCAATAGACAACAATATTTTCTATAAAGTTACATCTCAGTTTGTCGACCATTTTCATGGCCCTGCCCACTAGATCATGGTCAAGCAACTGAATTAATAAGCAATGTTGCTGTCCATCAGATTGTCTTTTACTTGATTTTATGCCGACAGGCGAGACATATCTCTGTGTCAACAGTTTATTTTAAAAATGATTGAATAACTGATTTTTTCATCCATTTAGCTAAACATAGCATAGCATTTAATACATGGACAATCATAAATATGCTGTACAGTGTTTATAGTTTTCAAAACCTTTGCGTTCAAACGTGCACAAAAATACCTAATCCAAATTCAGATTTTAAAAGATTGTTTGTTTAAAATGAATCTACTCTTTTCTTTTCACTTTCAAAGAAATTCCTTTTAATTTTATATTTTATTCCATGCTTCTAGGTATGTATGTACATTCTATTTTGGTTTCAGTGGGATAATAGTGGATACCACTCATTGTATTTGTAAGTTACAAAAATTTATATTTCTTTGATCTTTGACCTTGTATTCACAGGTGGCTACCCTGACAACCCTGGAAAAATACCAGCTATACCTGGAGGGTTGTCTAGACGTGATTGTGCAACATTCCCTGGCTTTGACCATGCACTTTGCTTTGGTTTCAGAACAGATAACAGTGGACCACCAATTAACATAACTGTAAGTTAATTACAAAAATTTTAACCTGTGATTTGAAAGAAACATTTTTGTATTCGACAATTCCTAGATAAAATTCTATTCATTTCCCTAAGGTAAAAAATATATGTACATGGTTGCAGAATATTGATTTGTGCAAGACTAGCCTAAAGCCTACTGTAAACAAAGGTACAAATTTAGAAAATCACCTTGCTTGATGCTGTCAATGTTATCAATAAGAAGATACAAGTCTATCTTTCATTATTTCAGTGACCATTGTAATTCATTTAAAAAATTCCCAGACCTGTCAAACACTCTACATATAATGGTAAACTGCTATCTGTCTGTCTGTCAAAACAGTCCTCTTTCAGTTTCTAGTTATTCATGATGAATTTGAGATTATTCACCGGCATTGTACTGAATAAAGCTTATAGAAAATTTTAATCTGTGAAAGAAATCTCATTCAATAATGCTGAGTTTAAAAATGCACCATATATCCATTAAAGTTAATTGGTGTGTCAACACATTCTAAATTTGTAACAGTTTAGCAAAGTAAAACTATACGGTTATCATATGAATTATAGATATCAGAAGAAAATTGGGTAAAGAAACTTGAATTAACCAGCAACAAGTCATTTTGATTATTTTAATTACTGTAAATTCATTATCATTTGTGGGATACCTATTTTCGTGGACTTCTTGGCTGAAGGTGAACCACAAATTTTAATGTTCAACAAAGTCCATATTTGATATAGATAGGCTTGTATGCAAACTTTGGCAAAACCACGAAATGCAATAGACACGAAAACATATCTTTTCCTCAATCGACAAAAAGAAATCAGAGGAAAAGGTGGCCAAGAAACCTGAATACACCAGCATCATGTCATTTTGTTTATCATAATTATTAACCTTTCTAAAATAGCAAAATGAATTGTGTTATAGGAAGTATTATTATACTATGAGATAGCCAGATCACAGTTTCCTGGAGCTGATGTACAGGCAACAACATTTGAAGACTTTGTTGAAGCTCTTCAGCCAATCAAAGATAAGCTTCCTGTGATTGATAAAGAATTTGGAGATACGTGGATAGAAGGAACAGGATCAGATCCCAGGAAAGTTGCTGAGATGAGGGCTTTGATGAGAGCTAGATCTAAATGTCTAGAAATAGAAACTGGTAATTGAAAAAAAAAATATTTCCTTGTTAAACAAAATTATACAACTAAAAGCAATACATGCTACTGTCTCAAAAATTAATTTTATTCATTATGAAAACTCAGATTTTGGAAAAATTAATTATAGTTTTGTCAGTAAATCAGTCCTTTTCAGACGTCCATTAAAACATACAATTTGTATTTTAAAGATTTTTACCATCATTTCGGCCAATGGGAGATTATGAACTTTACAAAAGCTGAAAATATCTTATTAAAAGCTAGCATTCAAATAGTAGAGGGTGTCTAAAGCTTAGCAAATACCAGCATCATCACCATTGTTCTGCCCTTTCAAATTCCAAACCATAAGTATTGTACTCCTTCTTTGATTCATTTTTTACATATACTTGTATCATATATCTTTTTAAAAATGATCACTTCTTAATGTTACAATATACTAGCAAAATCTTTAAAAATGAAATTCATCAAATTCAATAAAACATTGGGAATTTCTCTCTTTTGGTTTTAAAGAGTTAATCATTTCTTTCCTTGTATTTAAAGAAGTTACCTGAAATTATGACCTGCTCAAAAATTGAAAAAAAGGGATATATTCTAAAGTATCCAAGACTAGATCAAAACAAATACCAAGTAAAGTGAAAAATAGGTTAGAAATAAGACCAGCCCAAAGAATTGCTGCTTATTGTCAATCTAAGAAGTCATATAAAAATGCCACATAAACCTGTTAATTCAGTTTTGTTATTTGCGTTGTCTTTTTTAGGTTGTTCAATGTCAGATAGTAGATTATACAATTCTAGTGTATTGATGTTAAAGTTGGGAGAACATACATGGGGTCTGAGTAGTGTGTTTGACAGTGTACATTGGTCAAATGATAAATTTTATGCCATGCTGGACAACAAAAAGAAAAGTACGTTTTTAATACACTAGGATTTAAACAATTGTGTAGTTTTTTTTCTTCAAGTGATCATATATGTATATATATATATATATAAGTTGATGCTATGATTTTCTGACTCTATACTCTATTGCTTCATCTGGAGGTATTGGAAATCTCAATCTAAACTATTAATATAAATGTATTTTAAAGAGATAAGTGGTCATTTCAATTCTTATTTCTTGTAAACGTAACACACAAGAAGCAAAGACTTTCAGGTGCACATAAAAACACTTAAATGTGCCTGATACTATCATCTCAATGTACTGATAAAATGCAAAATATTCGCTTATTTGGACTCATAGACAAAATAAGAAAGTTTCATTTAATAATTTATAGAAAAATTGTGAAAAATATAACCCAAAAGTTTGAAAAAAAATCAGTTATAATTTAAATGCCTTGCCATTCATTGGAAACGAGTTATTATTGATTTTGGGGGACTGAAAAGTGGCAAATTTATATATTGCAAGTTACAGGTTACTGAACACAGATAACATTTGTAGAACGAAATAAAAATCTTTTGAAAAGTAAACTTGAACGAACACATTTATTGACAATAGTTAGCCAATCCTGTACAGTTCAGATTCATGCAGTACACTTGATTTTAGATATAAATTTAACAAATGGTGTATTATCGTGGCAAGAACAGAGAAACTTCAGTTATATGGCAATAGATGCCCTTGGATCACACACCTTAGCTACTCAGATGAAATATGAATTATCACAGATTTATGCCAGAAAACCAGATATAACTGGTAGGTAACATGTGTATAAAAACCAGATATAACTGGTAGGTAACATGTATGTAAAAACCAGATATAACTGATAGGTAATATGTATATACAATGCTTTTATATTTGCGCCTGTCCCAAGTCAGGAGCCTCTGGCCTTTGTTAGTCTTGTATCATTTTTAATTTTAGTTTCTTGTGTATAATTTGGAGTTTAGTATGACGTCCATTATCACTGAACTAGTATACATATTTGTTTAGGGGCCAGCTGCAGGACGCCTCCGGGTGCGGGAGTTTCTCGCTGCATTGAAGACCCATTGGTGGCCTTCGGCTGTTGTCTGCTCTATGGTCGGGTTGTTGTGTCTTTGACACATTCCCCATTTCCATTCTCAATTTTATATATGAATATACCTTTTAATGCATTTTTGCACATAACAAAAGAAAATTCTAAATATGCTTCATGATTGTGTTAAATGTGGATTAAAGGAGTATGTCAGCTTCCACACAAAAGGACTTTTTTCATTCACTGATGTTTGGTCAAGTTTAAGCCTGTGATGAATGTTATAGTACAGAAAATATATGTACATATCAATATAATGAATCAAAATCATTCCAGATTCTAATACACTTTGTTTAAACTTTTGTATCTAGACAATAGTCTATTTGCTAATTATCGATTTAATTCTGTTATTACACACTTTAAACACCAGTTTTTTCCCTTTGCCAATTTTAGACTGATTTCAAACTGGACACAATTGGCGGCTGCCCATGCACATCATGATACTTTAAAGGTGCTATATATATATATATATAGGCTTTTTAACCAATTTTCATTTTAAAGGGGCATTAGCTTTTCGACAGGGAAACTGATCCGGCAGCGGTATTGGCGGCCATGGCAGCGATAACTAAATACTTAAATGCTAAATATTTCAGAAGGTAGAAGACCTGGATGCTTCATACTTTGTATATAGATGCCTTATGTTATGAAGTTTCCGTCTGTCATATGTCCTTTGTCCTTAAAGGTAAGATTTTTTGTAATGTTAATTTCTCTCTTTTTATGAGTAATAGGATAACTATATTTGGTATGTGCATACCTTGCACAGTCGACATGTCTGTCAGACAGTTTTCACTTGACCTCGACCTCATTTCATGGATCACTGAACAAGGTTAAGTTTTCATGGTCAAGTCCATAACTCAGATACTATAAGCAATAGGTCTACTATATTTGGTGTATGGATTGATTGTAAGGTGTACATGTCCAACTGGCAGTTGTCATCTGACCTTTACCTCATTTTCATGGTTCAGTGGTTAAAGTTAAGTGTTTGTGTTTTGGTCTTTTTTCAAATACTGTATGCAATAGGTCAGCTATATTTGGTGTATGGAAATATTTTATGATGTACATGTCAGTCTGGCAGGTTTTATTTGACCTTGACCTCATTTTCACAGTTCTTCATTGCTCGATGTTAAGTTTTTGTGTTTTGGTCTGTTTTTCTTAAACTATAAGCAAAAGGTCAACTATATTTGGTGTATGGAATGATTATAATGTTTATATGTCTGTCTGGCACATATCATCTGACCTTGACCTCATTTTCATGGTTCATTAGTCAATGATAAGTTTTCATGGTTAAGTTTGTTTCTTAGATACTTGCAAGTGAATAATTTGACTTCATTGAATCTGTATTCATGTGACCTTCAATTTAACCCCTGAGCTAGAGATGGGTTATGCCTAAAATAGGTGTGTTCAGCTATTTAAAGGAAAATAATGTCAACATTGAAAGTGAAACAAGGGTAAACCATTTGGTTGACTGATTCGATCCACAAAAAACTCTTATACAGGTAAAAAGGATGATTAATATATTTTTATACGACTGCAAAAAAATTTTGCGGTCGTAAATTGGTATGGCGTTGGCGTCGTCGTCTTATTCGTTATCGTCGACAGGCGTCGTCGTCGTCGTCTGAAGACACATTGGTATTCACACTCTAACTTTAGTTTAAGTAAATGGATCTCTATGAAATTTAACCATAAGGTTCAATACCACAAAAGGAAGGTTGGGATTGATTTTGGAGGTTTTGGTACCTACAGTTAAGGAATTAGGGGCCAAAAATAAGCATTTTTTTAACTTCCAGACATAACTTGTGTGTTAGTGTATGGACCTCTCTGACATTGTACCACAAGGTTCCATATCACAAAGGGAATGCTGGGATTGATTTTGGGGGTAATTGCCTCAAAATGTTAGGAATTAGGGGCAAAAAAAGGGGCAAAAAAAACCAAGCATTTTTCTAGTTTCATGATAATAACTTGTGTGTAAGTGTATGGATCTTTCTGAAATTGTACTACAAGGTTCCATATCTCAAAGGGAAAGCTGGAATTGAGTTTGGGGGTTATTGTCCAAAATGTTTAGGAATAAGGGGCCAAAAATAAACATTCTTCTAGTTTCCAGACAATAACTTGTGTTCAAGTGTATGGATCTCTCTGAAATTGTACTGCAAGGTATCATATCACAAAGGGAAGGCTGGGATTGATATTAGGGGTAATTGCCTCAAAATTTTAGGAATTCGGGGCCAAAAAGGGGCAAAAAACAATCATTTTTCTAGTTTCAGGACAATAACTTGTGTGTAAGTGTATGGATCTTTATGAAATTGTACTAAAAGGTTCCTTATCACAAAAGGAAAGCTTGGTTTGAGTTTGGGGGTAATTGCCCTAAATGTTTAGGAATTTGGGGCCAAAAAGGGGCCTAAAAACAAGCATTTTTATACGATCGCGGTCGTATCTTGGTGTGACGTTGGTGTCGTCCTCTTGGTCGTCGTTGTCAGGCGTGGTCGTCGTCGTTGACGTCCGAAGACACATTGGTATTCGCACTCTAACTTTAGTTTAAGTAAATGGATCTCTATGAAATTTAACCATAAGGTTCAATACCACAAAAGGAAGGTTGGGATTGCTTTTGGGGGTTATGGTACCAACAGTTAAGGAATTAGGGGCCAAAAATAAGCATTTTTGTAACTTCCAGACATAACTTGTGTGTTAGTGTATGGATCTCTCTGACATTGTACCACAATGTTCCATATCGCAATGGGAATGCTGGGATTGATTTTGGGGGTAATTGCCTCAAAATTTTAGGATTTAAGTGCCAAAAAAGGGGCAAAAAAAAGCATATTTTTAGTTTCATGACAATAACTTGTGTGTAAGTGTATGGATCTTTCTGAAATTGTACTACAAGGTTCCATATCACAAAGGGAAAGCTGGAATTGAGTTTGGGGGTAATTGTCCAAAACATTTAGGAATAAGGGGCCAAAAAGGGGCCAAAAATAAGCATTTTTCTAGTTTCCAGAGAATAACTTGTGTTCGAGTATAAGGATCTCTCTGAAATTGTACTGCAATGTACCATACCACAAAGGGAAGGCTGGGATTGGTTTTGGGGGTAATTGCCTCAAAATTTTAGGAATTAGGGGCCAAAAAGGGGCAATAACAAGCATTTTTCTAGTTTCAGGATAATAACTTGTGTGTAAGTGTATGGATCTTTATGAAATTGTACTACAAGGTTCCATATCACAAAGGGAAAGCTGGGTTTGAGTTTGGGGATAATTGCCCGAAACGTTTTGGAATTTGGGGCCAAAAAGGGCCTAAAAACAAGCATTTTTCTAGTTTCCAGACAATAACTTGTGTTCGAGTGTAAGGATCTCTCTGAAATTATACTGCAAGGTACCATACCACAAAGGGAAGGTTGGGATTGATTTTGAGGGTAATTGCCTCAAAATTTAAGGAATTAGGGGCAAAAAACAAGCATTTTTCTAGTTTCATGATAATAACTTGTGTGTAAGTGTATGGATCTTTATGAAATTGTACTACAAGGTTCCATATCACAAAGGGAAAGCTGGGTTTGAGTTTGGGGATAATTGCCCTAAACGTTTTGGAATTTGGGACCAAAAAGGGCCTAAAAACAAGCATTTTTCTAATTTCCAGACAATAACTTGTGTGTGAGTGTAAGGATCTCTCTGAAATTATACTGCAAGGTACCATACCACAAAGGGAAGGCTGGGATTGATTTTGGGGGTAATTGCCTCAAAATTTAAGGAATAAGGGGCAAAAAAGGGGCAAAAAACAAGCATTTTTCTAGTTTCATGATAATAACTTGTGTGTAAGTGTATGGATCTTTATGAAATTGTACTACAAGGTTCCATATCACAAAGGGAAAGCTGGGTTTGAGTTTGGGGATAATTGCCCTCAACGTTTAGGAATTTGGGGCCAAAAAGGGGCCTAAAAACAAGCATTTTTCTAGTTTCCAGACAATAACTTGTGTTCAAGTGTATGGATCTCTCTGAAATTATACTGCAAGGAACCATACCACAAAGGGAAGGCTGGGATTGAGTTTGGGGGTGATGAATCATAAGGGGGTTCAAAAAATTGGGGGGAGGGTTTTTTTTTCCCTTAAAATTTTCCATTTTAAATTGGTTATTTCTGATTTATATATAAAAGCAAATAGTAATGATATGGTTTGAATAGGTAAATTAAAAAAATTTTAAGTTCTTGGACCACATTCATTCTGTGTCAGAAACCTATGCTGTGTCAAATATTTAATCACAATCCAAATTCAGTGCTGTTTCAAGCTTGAATGTTGTGTCCATACTTGCCCCAACTGTTGAGGGTTTGACCTCTGCAGTCGTATCAAGCTGTGCCCAGTGGAGCATTTTATTTAACCTATAATATGAAATCAAACAGACCTTAAAAAATCCATTGGCATGTGTTCGCTGTCTATTTATTACTATTTATGTTTATATCAGGTTAAATGACCATTGGCAATCTTTCGAGGTTACCTCAATGATTAATAAGATGGCGTCTAGACTAAAATGCACACAAAATGCTGATACATATTCTCAAGTCCATGCATCATAAATTGTTTATTTTCTGAATTTTCATAATTTGGATATAATTTTTTGTATGCTTTAAATAGAATGATGAGAATTTGAGTAAAATTGGTAAACGTGAATCTGACAGCTAATGTCCATGTAAATTAACTATTGATATCAAAAGTTTTTAGCTTAACAATAGATTAAATGTAATAAAAGATTTTAAAATGTTACAGATAAAATACTTTACATAAAGATAAGCTTGCTCTTTCTGCTTGCTCATTGCCAATGAAAATTAATGTTCCTCCTAAGGGAAACAAGTCATGCAAATGGATCTCTAATTACATGGTCAATTCTGTAATCGGCAAATAGACATATGTGTTAAATATTGTTGTTATTTATTTTCACAGGATTAATGAAGGTTAAGGACATGTTAGCAGCACAAGAATGTACAAATGGTTTCTCCCTTCAGTTTGACAATGAAGGAACTATAATAAGTCTGAGGGACCCAATTACTAAGGTTGTTTTTCATTTTCTTATCAAAATACAATCATCATTACAATGTCTCAGGGTCTCATTTTACCAGATATCTTTATATATTTTATAGATCTGAATTTTTATGACCATCTGAGTTTATAACTGAATTGAAAACTTTAGTCACTGCATAAATTCAAATAATCATTACACTTCCATGTACTGACTAACATGGGTGTAAAAACAAGTAGATTTTTACCCTGTTGAGCCATGTGGTGTCTGTGTTTCAAAATCATGTTAGTCTCTTCATTATCACTACCTTGTTTGTCTGTCTATAACTATGAGATTTGACACTTTTATTGTCAATAAAGAAACTTTTATTTTTTACAGATTAGGACTGTTACAATGACCATGATAGGGCGGTCACAACCACTTCTTTCTAAACAAACTACTTAATGTAGACCTGCAGTTCACAAAAGAATATGTTTTCATGTCCTTTAGTAATAGTAAATCAATTCCATATGTTAGTATTAAAAGGAAAAGAATGGAAAAGTTTTGATAAAACAATTTGTATTTCCTATAAAAGTTCTAAGGCATTTTTATGATCACAAGCATTTTTATGATCACAATTAATGATGTTTAAAGTTTTGACAGTATTGATTTCAAATTAGCTTTATCAATATATCTGTTATTTTTACAGAGGGATTGGGCATCTGCATCTAATCCAATAGGCAGATTTGCATACCAGTCTTTAAACCAATCAGATTTTGACTACTTTAATGGCAGCTATCCATATTCTAAACATTTTCAATTGGGAATTGGAAAACCTAATATGTCAGCAAATGCAAAACCAGAGAGTAAAATATGGAAGTTAAAAATGACAGATCTCTTCAAAGGTAAGCAGTTCTCTCTCAACCACACAATATTAGGGCACATAGAAGACATATCAGATATTTATATAGAGTATTCTGACTGTTTAGAGATAAAATTCTAGATTTAGTGCATTAAAAAATGTGATCTTTTTACGTAATATCAGATAAATTTACCATGACATACTCTGTGTGAAAGTAAGATGTAATTATTTTTAAAATAAATTAATCACCAAAACAAAAACAAAATGTAATGAAAAAATATTTAACAATGAATTGATATGTTATACATAAAATTTTTTCTTTTATAGTTTGGCTTTATAAAACGGGCGCAGGACATTTTAGCGAAAATTTTGAAACTTATAGGGGACATTTTAGTGCAAACATTATAGTCCATTTTAGCGCAGGATTAATCTGTTCACCTGTATTTTCAATAGCCCATTTTAGCGAAAACTTACTGGTTGAAAAATACTCACCTTATTTAAACCATAAACAGTCATTTATGTCGAATACTATGTAACTGAAGATTCTATGTTTCCACCTAAGCTTTGGGCGGAAGTTTGATGTATTTCAAAGCGAACAAGAATTAGTCCAGAGTCGTTCCATGCCCATTACAATGAGCAATTTTATAGTTGTCACCCAGCTATTTACGTTTTTCATGATTCTATCATCAAATTGCAAACATCAACATAAATAAAAATATGAAGTATAGACGAATGTGCACCACAATCTAGATAAGATAAAGAGAAAGAACAGTTCCTACTGCAATTTTATGAACAGTATTACAATGGGGCATATCCAGAGCCCATTACGTACGTTCTCTGTTTAACCTTTTAGACTTAGTTTTAGTGGACATGCTATTTTTTATATTGTGCTGTCTTGATTCTATTCAACATTTTTATTTATTATTCATTATAAAATGGGTTAAAAAAAAATGCGCTAAAATGGGCAACGATAATTTTGATTTTCGCTAAAAATGGGTTAAAAATCTTGCGCTAACATGGGTTATACTTTGGCGCTAAAACAAACAATTTTTTTCGCTAAAATGTCCTATAAATGCGCTAAAATGTCCTCTGCCGTTATAAAACACCAAAAACTACTGTAGATTCAGTTATTTTTGTGAATACCAAATTTTGATGAATTGAGGAAAATTTTTTAATTTCTTGGATATTTGATTTTGTAGTTTTATGAACATATTTTGCTTATAAGCCTATAGAACATTTGTATTTCGTTGAACTTTTAGATTTGTATGTTCATCTTTAACCACAAAATCCACAATAATTGTTATCCCATAAATAATAATGAATCCACAGTATATTGAAGTCAGACAAAGTATAACTATCTTACAATCACTGGTACAAGTTTATAACATATGAATATAAAACATGTGAACGCATCTTTTGTGTTTAACATCAAGTGGCAATTATTTCATGCATATTAGGACAAGAACATTTAAATGAGAATATGAACCCTGCTTTACGCTAGACCGACATGCTGAGCCAGATATTTAAGGTGCTAGTTCACAAGATAACAGTACCCAGGAAGACATGTAACCCTACTTGGAAACATTATTACGACTCCAAGACAACCTGTCATTGCCCTTATTCCTAAATGCTGCATGCTAACCAAAACAGTAAATACCAAAATTCAAGTCTTTGGCTTGACATGGCCAAGGATTGAACCCATGACCTCTGTCACTCAAGGTGAGCAACTACCACTAGACCACTAAGCAGGTTTGTAATCATATATAAATTATAATGTACATTTTATATAATAATTGATGGAGTAAATTATTTTCAGGTTCAAAATGTAACTTTGTGATGATGGCAACCTTTGTGGACCATTCCTGTATGTCTGAGTATGGCTGTCCTGTATCTATAACTGTAGAATATAAAGCTGAAATCAACCAAAATACTGGCCTAGGTGGTGAGTATCTATAACTGTAGAATATAAAGCTGAAATCAATCAAAATACTAGCATAGGTGGTGAGTTTCTATAACTGTAGAATATAAAGCTGAAACCAACCAAAATACTGGCCTAGGTGGTGAATATCTATAACTGTAGAATATAAAGCTGAAATCAACCAAAATACTGGCCTAGGTGGCGAGTATCTACTACTGTAGAATATAAAGCTGAAATTAACCAAAATACTGGCGTAGGTGGTGAGTATCTTTCATTGTTTGCTTTCTTGTATCTATAACTGTATGATATTGATATACATTTGTACAATGCTCAAATCAACCAAAGTTCTAGCATAGGTGGAAAGTATGGCTGTTCTGTATAACTGTAGAATATAATGCTGAAATCAACCAAAATAGTGGCCTCCGTGGTGAGTATCTGATCATTGTTGGCTAAACAAAGCACAGTCAGTGTTGAAATCCACCAAAATAGTGGCCTCCTTGGTGAGTATCTGATCATTGTTGGCTAAACAAAGCACAGTCAGTGTTGAAATCCACCAAAATAGTGGCCTCCGTGGTGAGTATCTGATCATTGTTGGCTAAACAAAGCACAGTCAGTGTTGAAATCCACCAAAATACTATGCTAGGTGGTGATGGGTGGGGTATGAGTATCCTATTATTGTTTGCTGTCATGTTTATATAACTGTAGATAAAAATACTGAAATTAATCAAAATACTGGCCTAAGTGTTGTGTATCATATCATAGTTAGCTGAGCAAAGCACAGTCAGTGTTGATTGATTGATGGATTGGAGTTTAACACCACTTTCAACACTATTGGATATTTTGTGGCGGTCAGTTTTTTATTGGTGAAGGAAGCTGGAGTGCCCGGATAGAACCTCAGACCTTCAGCAGGAAAACTGACAATCCTAGTCAATTAAGATTGGAGTCAAGCACACCTGCCATGTGCGGGGGTTGAACTCACAACCTCAGTGTTGACAGGCTAGTGATACAGTAGTTTGACTGCTTAGACCACTGGGCCACCGAGGCCCCAGTCAGTGTTGAATTAACCAAAACACTGGCATGAGGGGTGAATATCTTTCGTTGTTTGCAGTCATGTATCTATAACTGTAGAATTCAAGGCTGAAATTAACCAAAATACTGGCCTATTTGTAGATGTTGATAAAAAGACAGCTAAATGTATTCTATGCTTAAGTATTTTATATATTCATCTCTAATTTAATACTGACTTTTGCTATTTTTAACCATCACAGACAACAGTGATGTGAGAAATAAACAAAGTTCTAAAAAGTAGTCTTTGAAAAAAGTAACACCTTTTTCAATTTTCAGGCGTTGACATTACCTTACAGTGGTTTAAGAAAGCACCGACTAGATTACCAGAATCTATATACTTTGTATTCCAACCAGTACAGAATACAGACATGTCATGGAAACTTCACAAACTGGGACAGATGATTGATCCATTAAATGTTATACTGAATGGCAGTCAGAGGCAGCATGGTAAAATTGATAAATTTTTTATGGATTTTATTTTAGAATGTCAGATACTAATATTTATGAATTTTGTGGGTGAGTCAAAAAATAATTTGTACATTAAAAAAATTTAAAGGTTCAAGTTCTTTGATGTGAATTTGTATCTCAACAACAGTGAATTCTGGGATAAGAAGAAATTTAGATTTGTTAATTACATTCTTGTGAATATGCTTTTATAGAGGTAGAAAAAAGATTAAAATTGAGACGTAGCAAAAAAAAAATTTAATTTTGTATTATTGCATGCAGGTATTAAAAATTTGTATGTCACTTAATTTTGGCTCATACACTGAGGCTATAAATTAAGCATTTCATGTTATGACAAGTAAATAAATTAGGAACCTACATTGAAAAGTTGTAAGAAATGGGGGTGGGGGACTCCGGGCTATTTTCCTAATTAATATGATTTTATATGAGAATTGTCATTTATATTTTATAATAATACTTATTTTGTATTTGCTTTTGTCACAAATTTACTGTTTGGAGTATATATGGCAATAAGTATTTGGTTTGAAATTTTGTTTTCTTTTTCAGCTGTAGACAAAGGAGTATACTACACTGACAATAATTGTAAAGGACTTGAGATTTTATCTTATGATGTAGCACTGGTTAATGTACTGACTCCACAACATTATGTTAGTCCTATTCCACTCCCATTAAAACCATTAAATGAGGTCAATGGAATGGCATTTAACTTGTATAACAATATTTGGGATGTTAATTGGATATTCTGGTATCCTTTTGAAAAGAGAGATCTTGACCAAAAATTCAGATTTAGAATCAATATTTCTTAGATTAAAGTTAATTGTTTAACAAGCTTCTTTCTTTTTTCAGCAATTCCATGTTTTTTATATCTTTTTTTATACTGTAAATTCAGAAATAATTGCCAGGTTTTTATTATTGCGAATAATGCGACTGGGTTAGGATCGCATTAATAAGAAATCGCATTCTGATATCTAGTACATATGTCTTTATGCAGATTTTCTTGAAATCGCAATAATTAATCTCGCATTTTTGTCGATTCTTCAAAAATTGCAATAATAAATGCATGCAATAATTTCTGAATTTACAGTATATAATATTTTTCTCTTTATTGAATTTGTTATTCTCTTGATCTGTGAAATTAAAACCTCTAAATTATGTCTTAGACAAACAGTAAACATTTTTTTCCTTTAGGAAAAATATGAAATAGAACATGGCATTATTCTATATACAAATGATATATTCTTTGTAATCCATGAAATCCATGACAATTGGTATCTCTATTTGTGCTGTTGTTTACATTGTTTTTGTATTTAAGTAAAAAAAATATTTTTATACAAATATTTAATGTATATGTTAAAATATGTAATGTTTGTTTTAAATGTTTCAAAACTTGTGTAAGATATCAGGGTGGATCTAGGATTAAAAGGGGGAAGGTGTGCAAAGCGCCTCCTCTGGCTTTGCCCTGTTTAGTTTTGAATGTCATCTGGATTTTGACTCACTTGGACTATGAATTAAGCATTTTACTTTACAAGCCATATGTAATTTATGCAAATGTTAAACACATGTTTAAACTTATGTTTTCAATGTTTTAAACAGAAACTAAAACATTCCAAATGTTACGTAAAATTGTTTTCCTGTTGATTTTTGAAATCGATGTGAATTGTCTTTGTGCTTTGTATTTCCTCTAGTTAAAATGATGGATTGATTGATTATCTGGTGTTTAACACCTCTTTCAGCACTATTGGATAGTTAAAATGAATTGTGTTACTTAATGGTATGAAACTTGAAACTCAAAGACTTTTACTTAGATATTTAGAATGATTTATTGTTTTGAATCTTAGTTGGATGATTTTTGTTTTTAACCACAAAGTTGTTAATGTATCTGCATGACAATTTTTTAAGTACACATACACCTAAGAGTCTGAATGGCAGTTCCTTGATGTAGAAAACAAGTTTTCCCTGTATTTATTATTTTTAGCCTTAATAAATAATTAAATTTCAAAATTTTACATTTTGTAAAGAAGTAAGTAGTTCAAAAATACATGCATATATATGATATATGTTATTGTAGAATATTTTAGAATTGTTTTGAAAAGGGTGATACCTCATGGAAACTGTTTGAAAATTTTATGGCTATGTACATGAAATGGATACTCCAATGCTAAAGATCAAAATTTGGAAAAACACTTATATTCTATTTTATATTTTTATGAGGTTATGAATTTTATCAGTTTACCTTCTGATAAGAAGTGTGTGCCTGTTTCTATGTAGAGTTGTACTTAACTATATGTATTGTTAACTTTTTTTTATGAATCACCTTTGCATTATGTAAATTGCAGATCTGGAAATATATCTCTTATTGTTATTTTTATTACGATAAGGTTCCAATTATTAAATGAAAATTTTTAATGAATTTAAAAATCATAAAAGAGAGAAAACAGTTTAAACAGAAATCTTAATTTAAGTGTGAAATGATATGATACAAGCATTGCTCACATATAGTTCATTCTGTTAGCAACACTTAAGTGCCAGTCTTTGTAAGAATCAGGCAATTTAGAAGAATTTTAAAGCATGGCCGAAAAAAACCCACCGACCTTAACTATCCTATTTTGAAGTTACCCTCATCCCGAGTTAGAAACGGTAGGTATTTCGTTACTGCATGTCTGATAATACGAGTGATATCCAGATAAATTTTGGTTAGACTGATAGCAAATTATGGAGTTATCTCCCCTTAATTGTTAATTTCTAGTGCATTTCAACCAAATTATATCTTGAAATACCAGAACAGTTAAAGGAAACGAATGTTTTTTTTCGTGTACCATTATACATTCTGAACTAAAATTAATGTTAGCATCGCTTAAAACTTAATCTGATATAAATTTTGAAAATAAGATAAAATATAGGTTGACTTTCCATATTTAACTGAAAGAAAAACTAATCAAAAATTTTAAAACATCAATTAAAGGCAGTTTCAAAACACAAGTAGAGTAACTAGATATTAAAATAGTTTTTTTCTTTTATCTGCATTGCTATATTGGCTCAATTGCTTTATTCTTATGAACTTAACATACCTTTGGTTATATCCATTACAGTGTTTAAAGAATACATTCTATGTATCCAGATTTTAAAACAAAAATTTTCTATATTTGTACTATGCTTTATTGATATATGTTATAGATATTAAATAATGTGAAAAAAAATTCAAATATTTACATTTATCGTAATTTCTGCTTCTTGCTATGTCTTGTCTTTTCCCAAAGCAAAGAAATACCAATAAAACTAATAAAAACTTGAAACTACGAGGGATAAATAACTTTGGCTGTCAATTCTGATGTCTGCTTTCTCTCAGCATTGGTAGCGTGAATGAATGATCCATAGTAGAAACTGATATGTTTATTAAACTTGAATAATAATTGTACAATCTCTGGAACATCTGATATTTGTTTATAAGCATGGACAATGTTCCAACAGCTATATAATTTACATAGAGGGAAGAACTACTAAAATAACGTTCTTGTATTTTCGTATGGACCAAACTGGAATATCCTAAATTGTAGAATGCAAATAAATCCCAAAGATGTGAGGCTTACAACTATCTGCTTACCTAATTAACTATTCTGCCTAAACTAATCTAGTCACATTAATTCTTCCAGTTAAGAACTCATAAGTGTACACTTTTGGGTACAAGCTTAGAATATTGACCTAAAGTAATGTTTGAACAATACATTACAAAGTGGGGCCATATTTGATGTTAACTATACAGCTAACTTACTTAAAATGAATTGTACATTAATTGCTTTTTAAAATATACTGAAAACTATGAATAACTTCAAAATAACTTATACAAACTCTCAAAATCAGAGCACACATTTACAACAACATGTATCACACATATTCGTCTTGGAAATTCAATATACTCTATTAGCCAAGAGTAGTAAAAAATGTATACAATATGAAATTACTATGCAAGTATCTACACAGAGTGTAATAGAAAATTGGATCAATATAATATATTTTTCTAGTTTTCCTTTTTGTATTTTTTTATAGCAGAAATTTAAATATTTCAGATTGGCACTACAATGTTTGTTAAAGATTTGATTTCCTATTGTTTATGTATACAATATTATTGTAGCAAATAATATTTATGATGTTTTATATATTTTTCTCTTCAACATTCTGATTTTTAAGATCAAATTATAATTCTTATAGTGTTATTCCCCCCATTTTATCACAAATAAGAGTTTGAAGTCATGAATACCCAATTTTTCAACCAACAAAATTTTGACTAAAGATATAGTGGGAAAAAAAACATCCATTACATTTATAAAGTCAAATGACTGAAGAAACATTTAGTCTTTCAGATAAAGATCAGGAACCTGTAATTCAGTGGTTGTCGTTTGTTGCTGTGTTTCATATTTGTTTTTCGTTCATTATTTTGTACATAAATTAGGCCGTTAGTTTTCTTGTTTGAATTGTTTTACATTTGTCATTTTGGGGCCTTTTATAGCTGACTATGCGGTATGAGCTTTGCTCATTGTTGTAGGCCGTACGGTGACCTATAGTTCTTAATTTTTGTGTCATTTGGTCTTTTGTGGAGAGTTGTCTCATTGGCAATCATACCACATCTTCTTTTTATATTATCAATATTAACATGCAATGCTGAATAAAAATTTATTGTTACTCCATATAAAAATCAGAAAGTTATTAAAAAATATTCAGAACATGACAAATTTTTATTAAGGTTCTAAATGTATGTGTTCATCATATTTACATCAGTCAGTAACTGCTAGTATTCCTTTGTTAATTTATGTTTATCATTGTCATTTTGCTTAGTTTCTTCTGTTAATACCTACTCTAACATCGGACTTGGACTTCTTATGAACTGAGTTTTACTGTGCCTTTTGCTGTGTGTTTGTTTATTCTACATTGGCTAGAGGTATAGGGGGAGGGTTGAGGTCTCACAAAACATGTTTAATTGTAAATTGGATGGAGAGTTGTCTCATTGGCACTTTTACCACATCTTCCTATATCTATTAACCCTGCCACATTTTTGCGCCTGTCCCTAGTCAGGAACCTTTAGCCTTTGTTAGTCTTGTATGGTTTTTTAATTTTGGTTCATTTATATGTTTCAGGTTTACTGTTGCGTCCACTTCGCTGAACTTTTATATATTATTGTTTAGGGGCCATCTGAAGACTCAGGGTGCGGGATTTTCTGGCTGCATTGAAGACCCATTGGTGGCCTTGGGCTGTTTTCTGCTCTTAGGTTGGGTTGTTGTCTTTGACACATTCCCCATTTCCATTTTCTATTCTAATGATAAATGTGTAAAATTTTGGGTTGTATCTTAAGAGCTGTAAGTATTTAAGTATGTATGTCATTAGTTTCGACAGTTTTCTAGCTAGTGTGGTCATTATGTTTAAGTAAATGTAGAGGTACAACACAATTAAGATTGACATCAGTCAAAATCAGCAAACAATTAAAAAAAAAAAAAAATGGAGTTATAATTTGGAACTCATCCTCTTTCATGTCAATCTTTACTGACCACACTACTAACATTTTGACTCTCATAACTAAGTGAGAAGATTGTAACGAGGAAACCTCTAGTACATGTGGCAATTTACAGATGTATATATATATATATATATGTTAAACAGTTTAAATAACCCAGTATTTGTGAGACCTTACTAATCATTTACCTGTAATAGATATTAATTACACAATTAATACAGAACTCTTGACATCAATAGTATGTTAGACATTTGATACATAATAGATCTAAATGAAAAAAAAATTAAAAAAAAATTATTCTGTTTATGGTAAGTAAGAATTTTTTTTTAGTTACTGTAATTAATTTAAAGTAATCTCTCAATTTAAGCTGGGATCAATAGTCATTTATTAGTCCAAGATTGAAGATAACGTAACTGTAAAAAGATATGCATTTCAACTAAATTGAAAAAAAAGCACACAAGTCAATATTTGGACCTTGGGTTATTAAAAGTTATATTGCGGACTTATTTGATATGAATGATGGAAAATTGGCAGAAATCAATTGTTCCTAATTGACCTAGAGGCTGAAATGTTGGGGACATTTCACATACATGTTTTACACAGGAACTACAAGGAGAAATATATCAGTGCAAAAGGAATCCTTATTGGGTAATTTTTCTGTTTGAAAAAATGTAAACTTAACTGAATATAATTTGATAAAAATATCAGATTGCAAATTTACTCAACTACTCACTATGACACACATTTAGTACATTTTATCTGAAAAAATTGTTTAAAGAACATTGGAATGGAACTCTTTGAACTCTGAATAACCCAATAAGGAAACAATTTAATATAAGTAAATACCACCATTCTGTAAAGGCCATATATTATATAAGCATCCCTCATAAAAATATGCACATAAAATGGCATTTTCAAGGATCAGGTACTGCTGAAAATACTATAGTTTTTGAGTCGCCTGTGACGAAAGTCAGCTTTGACGGCAGCTTTGGCTGCGGCTTAAACTATTGTATAAAGCTTTATATTTCATATGGTAGAAGACCTGGAGGCTTCATACTTTATATTTCAGATGGTAGAAGACCTGGAGGCTTCATACTTTATATACAGATGCCTTAAGATAGAAGTTTCCATCTGTCTAATGTCCATTGTCCTTAAAACAAAATTTATAGTATTTTTGTCATGAAAATTTCTCACTTATTATGAGTAATAGGATAACTATTATGTTTGGTCTAGGGTTTATATAGAAATCCTTGATTTGATATATGAGTTCCTTTCAGGTCTACCTCGACCTCATTTAATGGATCAGATAAGTTAAAGTTACATGATTAAGTCCGTTTTTCAAATACTATAAGCAGTAGGACAACTTTATTTGAAGTATAGAATGATTGTAAACTGTACATGCCTGTCTGGCAGGTATCATCTGTCCTTGACCTTGTTTTCATGGTTCATTGGTCAATGTTCAGTTTCTGTAGTTTGGTCCTCTTCTCAGACACTATAAGCATATGTCAACTGTATTTGATGTAAAGAATAATTGTAAGGTGTACATGTCTGTCCATCTGTCTGTCTGGCAGGGTTCATCTGACCTTGACCTCATTTTCATGGTTCATTGGTTAATATTTAGTTTTCTTGGTTACGTCTGTTTCTTAGATACTATAAGCAAAAGGTCAACTATATTTGGTGTACGGATTGTTTGTAAGGTGTACATGTCTGTCTGGCACAGTTTATCTTACCTTCACCTTGTTGTCATGGATCATTGATAATGTTAAGTTTATATGATACTTTTAAGACCGGGTTTCAACATTTAATCCATCATGGTCAATAAAGCAGGCGAGACATTTCAGCGTGTGCTCTCTTGTTTCTCATGATTTTCTCTTACTATGCCTAATATGATATCTATATTTGGTATATAGAATCATTGTAAGGTGTACATGTATGTCTGGTAAGGTTCACCTGACATTGACCTCATTTCATGGATCAGTGATCAAAGTTTAGTTTTCTCAGACTCTACGAGAAATACAAGTAGGTCAACTGTATTTGTTTGAAATTATTGTAAAGTGTTACAGTATATGTCCGTCTGACAGGGTTCATCTGACCTTGGCCTCATTTTCATGGTTTATAGGTCAACGTAAAGTTTTCTGGGTACGGTCCGTTTTTCAGATATTATAAATCAAATATATTTTATGCATTGACTGGTTGTAAGGTTCATCTGACCTTAACCTAATTTTCACATAGTATTGATGATGCTTAGTTTCTGTACTAAGACATTGATTTTAAAGACTTTAACATAAAAGTCAACCACAATCAGTAAAACAGGCCAAAGAAGGTACACTTATTCGTATTAAGATTTAAAACCACTTATTTTACAAAGAGGAAACGTAAAGTTTTCATGGTACGGTCCGTTTTTCAGATATAATAAAATATATTTTGTGTATTGACTGGTTGTAAGGTTCATCTGACCTTAACCTAATTTTCACATAGTATTGATGATGCTTAGTTTCTGTACTAAGACATTGATTTTAAAGACTTTAACATAAAAGTCAACCACAATCAGTAAAACAGGCCAAAGAAGGTACACTTATTCGTATTAAGATTTAAAACCACTTATTTTACAAAGAGGAAACTGCAATAAAGTCGGTTTAGCAAAAAAAAAAAAAACATCTAATATTCTTTTTTCCCTCTCTAATGCATATTTAAAAAAGAACAGGCTGGTGCAAGTAAAATGTCATCAAAAGTACCTGGCTTATAACTAAAACTTTACAAGAATAGTCAGTTACTAAAAGCATTCAAAGAACTGATGAAATTGAAAACATGCAAACTTACACTCTAATATCGGCAGCTGTACTTTCAAGTAGATTTCATACAGCAATGTCAATGAAAGAGCAGAAAATACATGATATTGCGCAACGCCTTTAGTTAATGAGAAGGTAGAATAAGGACACATTACTCCTTGATTTCGAAAATCCAGAAGTATTATAAAATATAAACCCATCAAACATGATATTATTTTAATTGTGCCTTACTTTTTTTGTGTTAAAGCTTCAATTGGATTGCGTCTTACTTATTTTTGTCAGAGCTTCAAATATCTTACATTAATGCAAATATGCAAAAAACAGTAAAAATAGGCTGATGTTGCGATCATGTCCTAAATATTTATATATGAGCCAAGACCTTACCCCAAATGATAATTTGCTTCAAGATGCCATATGGAGATATGTTTATATTGCAAGCAAAATAGCATTCGAGGAAAGCTTTGCTTCATAAATATTTTACCAAAAAATAAATATAAAATGGCAATTTTAGTCAAAATACGTCAATTTCAACATGTTTATGAAGTCCTAGTCATATTACAGTTGACATGTTCTGAACTGAAATGTCCAGATTATATCACGATATTCATTTAACAATAGAAAATACATGATTTTAAAAAGATTGAAGAATTTTACTAAATTGACTCTTATCATACCCCATCTTTTGTGCTTCGGATTTCGATACAGAACAGGAAATAAACACAATATTTATTCGTGTTTCAAATTTTTAAGAGCGAATCGACATCCATCATAAAAATGCAAGAACCAATGGTGCCAGAACAACCAACAGCATAATTATAAACATTTTCAATAAGTCTATAGCGCCAAACAAACTATAAACAACAATTCTTGAACGTTTTTTGCTTTATACATAAAATTACCATAAAAAAAACTGACTATTTCTCAATTATATCGTGATATTGCTGTTCAGTTTTTGTTGTTTGTTGTTTGTTGTTTTTATTTTATCAAAGTTAAGAGAACCGATTTTTAAAATGATAGGCAAGCTTATCACCCTTTCATCTATGCATCTCTCCACCATTTGATCTGCTATAAAAGATATAGACGAAGATTGCATGATTTGCGAAGGAGTTATATTAGACAATAGAAGCTAGAATGTGCAATATACTATCTTCTGTACTACCTTTAAACTTTTTCTCTGCATATCTTTATACTATAGATAGAAATATTCCCCAGTGTTCGTGTACCATTAAAGATAATAAAATAGGTTAGCATGTTAGTACATATTTGATATACATATAACTGTTCTATATATATTGACAGCCTTATATACACACCAATGATTTGTAATACTGTTGTTGTACTTGGGACTTTTCTTGTGAGTTTTGCCTACAGTTTCTTGGTTAATGATTTACCCGAGGCAAAAATACAGCTACTGTCACCAGGGATAGAGTTTAGAATTCCAGGTAAATTGTACAAATTTTGGCAGATAACTATTTACTATTTACAGAGACGGTTCAAGGTTACAAAACTCGGGGTCAAAACTCATCGAAAATTTACTAGTACGAACTCTTGCGGAGAGTTGTCTCATTGTTAATCATACCATATCTCCTTATTATTGTTCCTAGAGCGGGTGGTATATATATCGTTCATCCTTCCAACCGTTAGTCAATCTGTCCCTCTGTTTTGTATTGCGGCAAAGTACTGCTGAACCGATTGACAGGATATCGTGAAACTTTCACATAATTTTACTCAGATGATATGTGTTTGCGCGTCTTATTTTATTTCTTCATTCTACTGATTTTTGGGATTACATTGGCATGACATTGACTTTGATATATTCTCACACGACAGTACATATATGAAATCAGTTATTTAGGATTTTATAACATCTCTTTTTTTTCTATTAGTGATCGGTTTTTGTTTTTGTTTTTGTTTTTGTTTTTTTTATTGTTTATGATTGTTTTTTATATGCTTTTGTAAATACTTATATATGTGAATTGATATATGTTGTAAAGCGCTTAGGGTAATTTTAATATTATATAATGCGCTGTTATAAATACTGTATAATAATAATGAATAATACTTATAGATTATTCTGATGTTATAAACCAACAGGTTCTGTTATCTTTTCATTTTTTTTCTTCATTTTTTCATTGCACGTAGCAACTTTAGTCTTTTACTTGGATGAAGTGTTGTCTTTTTGTATAGTTGCATATTTTAATTCTCAAGTTATTCTATGTCTTACAGTGTATATGCTTTTCTTGTAATGGTTCCTTCTGTTTTACGATAGTTTTCTAGTACAAGTTATATGTTAAAATTCGACTGAATCTTTCCTTTGACAATCAATGAACTGTTAAGTGAAACTCATGTGAACATAATTATTATTTTACTTTTGTTATTTTGTTGAATGATTTCAGATGTATCGGGCCTACAAGAAGTCGGCATTCATTACAGTGTAAATCAACCTTTGTCTGGAGCGCAAGGAGCAGGCGCTTTAAATTATGAAATAGTCCACAAGTCTGGTAAGTATTTCATGTTACAGTACGATTTTATTAAATGAGACCAAAACCGACTCATCTGAAACGCAATGGTTAGATGGTTCCACAAAGAAAGTAAACATAAAAGAAAGTCAACAAGAACTAACTAGAAACTTAGAAGTAAAAGAACCTATGAAAACATTTAGTGGGTCTGGATTTAGGATCATTTGGAGGGGGAGGGGGTAGGGAGAGTGGTCTTCATTTCTGTATTCTTTATTTTTTCGACCATTTTTCTCCATTGTTTATTTTTTGCAAATTATTCTCTATTCTTTATATTTTTTGTGTATCCTTTGTTTGCACATTATTCCCTATTCTAAAAACCCCATCCAGACCTTCCTTTAACATCTGTGAGCAAATACCAGGGACAAAATAAGCGGACACTCGTTCCTGGTATGATCGTCGGTTGACAACTTTATAAACACCAATAAAGTCGTGCCATGAAGAGAGATTTACCAAAAACATGAGAATAAGAAACACAGGTTTTGAAATATTGTGTTGACTGAGATGTATTTAAACTGTTATTGAATGATCGAGTTCTATCAAAATTTTATCATTTAGAATTCGAAATCATCTTTTCTATCTTAAAATGCATCTTGATCAACCTTCTTTCGGCGATTTCCTGATTTTGGTCAGTATACTAATACATGTAAATAATTAAATGTTTATAAATTTAGTGAAAATGTCTTGTCATTATAGCAGAATTTAAGATTTAAAATAAAATGTCAGTCGACGACAGCAACCAGTTTATGTTTATCGTTTAAAGCTGACGGATATTGGCACCACAGGAACACAGGGGTCCAGGTTCATTCAGGCGACATTGTGTACTACTGGTTATATTACAAAATCAATGGCATGGGACAAGTCAAGACGGATATGTCCTACCTTTTCGGTAAGTTTAACCAATGGCATAGGACGATTTATGAGGGTTATGTCCTATCTTTTGGATAAGTTTAACCAGTGGTATGGGACAAGTCAAGACGGATATGTCCTACCTTTTCGGTAAGTTTAACCAATGGCATAGGACGATTTATGAGGGTTATGTCCTACCTTTTGGATAAGTTTAACCAGTGGCATGGGACAAGTCAAGACGGATATGTCCTAGCTTTTTGGTAAGTTTAACCATAGCTACTAAATGTTGCATATTAAGGTATTGCTGGACAAAGCTAGATTTATACATCTTTGACAAAAAATTTGGAAAAATACAGAAATAAGAAATATGAAATATTTGGAGAATAAACGGTTTACACAAAAAGGTTAACAACAATTGGTTGTTAAAATAACAGAATTAACATAATATAAAAATAATGCAGTTTAAATAAACTTCAAACAGTTATTAATAAGGGTTTGCCATCATGTATATTTCTAAATTCTAGAATTCTTTAGGCCATTTTTCTCTATTCTTTATTTTTTGTCCATTTTTGTAAGCACCCCATTGTTCCCGATTCTATATATTTAAGCACCACATAATTCTCATTTCTTTTTTTCTGAGTATTATTCTCTATTTTGTAAACTCCAGTCAAATCTTCAAAATCTTAGCAGCCATCTTTATTAAAGTAATGCAATAAATTATTTTTTTTACATGCAGGAAGCGGAAGCTCTGTCACAAGTAGCGCAGGATCTGGGCACACTACTTTTGAGAGTTTCACTAATTCAACAGGGCTAACATCCAAGCCACCAATACCAGGAGGACTGCAGCTTATATTTGAAGATACTTTCGATAATGGTTTTGACAAAAGCAAATGGACGAATGAAATCTCAGCTTTTGGTGGTGGGGTACGGTGTTAACTATTTTGTATTTGCTTCTTTACTCAGATGGCCCTCACTGTCAAAAGTTCTTTTTATCAAAGTTATATGATAATATGTTTACAAAAATCGTGATTATTAATTTTGCCATATTGATATTCGATTTTTATATTAAAATACATTTAGAAAAACATTATCTATGAATATAAATAAATAAATAATTGATATAAACTTTTTGAACTTATAAATGTTCAGTTCACTTTTTTTTTAAATTTGCAAGCGAAATGCTTGAATAACTGCATGACTTAAAGAGTGGCCGATACTCAATATTTTCTTGTCCACATTTTGCAGATTATTCCAGATCAAAACGTGTATGTGAGTTCAAAAGCTATATTTACTAGTGATATGTATAGGTTTGACAATACATGACGCCGTTTATTAAGAGAATATGTTTGTTGCAACATAAGAATTAATGTTGAGAACATATTTTCTGTCTTTTTTTTATAACAAACGCCTTGAAGAAAATTCGGTTTTCTTTGTGAAAAATAGTTGTTTTCTTTACTTTCCAGAACTGGGAATTTCAAATTTATTCTCCGGAAACAACGAACACATTTGTTAGAGATGGTGTTCTTTATCTTAAACCGGTAGGTAGAAAATGTGTATAGAATTATAGAGTTCAAACTCATATCTTGTGTGACGTCATCAAGAGCATCTTATTGGTTAAATTTACCAAGCAGGTTCCATTCATTGCTTTAATGTTTCCATAATTTTGATTGTAATACATTTAACAAAACAAAAATGAACCCTTTATAAGCAAATATTTAGCTTCAATTGACGGCATTAAATTTTGCGAGAGATAATATAGGACGGCTGTGTGTAAAGCCTAAAAAATAATATTTTAACTATACTTCAAGTATTTAGAACGAGAACATGTTATAATGATATGCTTGTAACAGACTGTTCTCTAAGCAAGATTTTTAAAATGCTACTTCACAAAGTAATAGTCCACATGAAGACATATGACCCAATCCGGACTTATTTTTCGTACTCTGGGCTCATTTACATTTAAATGTCAGATGCTTGGCGGGAAAGCAACACGAGTCGATTTTCATTCTATTGTACGGCAAAGTCTCTCAGACGGGTCGCGCATTCAAGATGTGCACCCTACTACAAGACTATTTAGTCATTTTAAGATGGATAGTGCACAATTGGTGATAATCGAGTTCTGGTGGTGTATATATTTTCTGTTGATGTATGATGTTGGTTCATCTTATATCGGATCTCCCTCTCCTCTGTTGTTAAACTTGCACTTACCATGAGAAACACGACAGTGCCACATGTGGAGCAGGATCTGCTTACCATTTCGGAGCACCTGAGATCATCTCTGGTTTTTGTGGGGCGTGTTGCTCAGTCCTTAGTTTTCTATGTAGTGTTTTGTAGACTATTTTGTCTTTTTGTTATTTTTCAGATTTGTGCCATTGTTTTGTCGGTTTCCCTTTGACCTTTGTATTTTTATTGTCCATTTGGTATGTTCTTTTTGCTGCTGTTCTCAATCATTTCGAAGATCTGAATATCAAACAACAAGCCACTGAATATTAAACGAGAAACTTATTAATTTATGATATGATATAATCAAGAGTGCTGAAAGTGGTATTTACTATAACCAACAACAATTAATCAACCAATCAATCTGATTTAAAATAAATTATAAACATTTTAACCCGTTTTTGTTTACTTAGAATAACGTGAATAGTATATATCTGTTTTTTATAATTTAAGACAACAACAGCAGAGAAATTTGGCGAGAATTTCCTTCATCATGGAGTCCTTGACGTTAGAAGTAAGTCATACATAGTGAAAGGAATAAAATGGAAAATTAACACAAAAGTAAAGAAGAGAAAATAAATAAAAAAGTAATATGTAAGTAAAAAGAAGAAAGAGAGAAACCAGAAGTGAATCGTCCTTTAATAGAAATGTCAACGTTTTAATAAATAGATTCAAAAATTTGTGTTTTAAGTAGCCTATATTTAAACAAAGTAGAATAGAAGTAGACTGGCATGAATATAAAGCCTAATTGTTTTTGAATAGTATAATTGATTGTTATTTAGCACATACTTACAACTTCTCGTCCAATCAAATTGCTTGAATTTGCCTTCTAATTTTCATCGTACATACTTTTTCCGTGTACTAAGTAACTTTGCATGAATTACCACAAGGGTAAGACTTCATTGTATCATAATCAATATATTGAAGACAAAAAATTGCGACTGGCTATTTTGGAATAACTTGTGTCCAAAATTAAAAAAAAAATGCTTGTAATTAGTTTTCACATTGAATTTTATGTATCCTGCTTTTAAAATCTTTGGTTTTAAAACATGTTTTTTTAACACTTGCAAGATTCTATCATTTACATAAAGAATAACAAATATGACCCTGAATATACCTTGATTAGAGTACATTGCTATCTTATAATGGTGGTAATCTATCAACCATGCAAATACTTTGTATACAAAAAAGTGTGTACTATGAAACCTTGTGATTGAACATTAAGGCAACTTAATAATGATTTTTTTAACTTTCGTAAGGAACTTGATCCATTTCATTATGAATTTTATTTTATAAACCGTGATAATGTCTAAAGGGAATATGCCACCTATATCTATATTCTGATAAAGCTTTTAGTTTTTGTCGAGCCTTCGACTTTAGTCGAAAAAGCGAGACATAGCGATCCTACATTCCGTCGGCGTCGGCGTCGTCGTCGTCGTCGTCGTTGTCGTCGGCGGCGTCCACAAATATTCACTCTGTGGTTAAAGTTTTTGAAATTTTAATAACTTTCTTAAACTATCCTGGATTTCTACCAAACTTAGACAGAAGCTTGTTTATGATCACAAGATAGTATCCAGAAGTAAATTTTGTAAAAATAAAATTCCATTTTTTCCGTATTTTACTTATAAATGGACTTAGTTTTTCTGCCAGGAAATATGACATTCACTCTGTGGTTAAAGTTTTTAAAATTTTAATAACTTTCTTAAACTATCCTGGGTTTGTACCAAACTTGGACAGAAGCTTGTTTATGATCATAAGATAGTATCCAGAAGTAAATTTTGTAAAAAAATAAATCCATTTTTTCCTTATTTTACTTTTAAATGGACTTAGATTTTCTGCCAGGAAACAACACATTCACTCTGTGGTTAAAGTTTTTAAAATTTTAATAACTTTCTTATACTATTTTGGATTTGTACCAAACTTGGACAGAAGCTTGTTTATGATCAAAAGCTAGTATCTAGAAGGAAATTTTGTAAAAAAATAAATCCATTTTTTCCGTATTTTACTTTTAAATGGACTTAGATTTTCTGACAAGAAACAACACATTCACTCTGTGGTTAAAGTTTTTAAAATTTTAATAACTTTCTTATACTATTTTGGATTTGTACCAAACTTGGACAGAAGCTTGTTTATGACCAAAAGCTAGTATCTAGAAGGAAATTTTGTTTTCTCCCAGTTAACATTATATTCAGTCTGCAGTTAAAGTTTTTAAACATTTATTAGATTCATAAACTATCCTTGATTTTTACCAAACTTGGACAGAAGCTTCTTACAATCAAAAGATAGTATCAAGTGGAATATTTTTATTGATTTACTTCCTCATTTTTGTTGAGCCTGCAATTAACAGAAAAAGTAGGCGAGACACTAGGTTCCGCGGAACCCTTACGAATTTTTACTTTGAAATATAAAAAAAATCTATTGGTAGTTGCTTTTTAATGCCTATCCTCTAGACTATCTACGCGCACATATATCTATATTTTTCAAATTTATTATAGCTTTAGTTTTACTGTGAAATTGAAAAATGTTTTCAACACATGTAAAGCTTCGAATGCTATTTAATGTTTATAATATATGCCTGTTTTTGGTCAATTTATTTTGTCATCTTACCATGTAAAGAAGTACACGTAGTAAAACACCGCTTTATATTAATACACATTCTTACACTAGCAGCCACTATCTTTTCATTCTGGAGTCGAGGACCTTTTAAAATCACATATGTTTATGTAAAATTGACTTAGAAACCCCCATTTTTCCAATTCGTGTTTGATGCAATTATAAAATCATGATCTGGTAAATCACTGTCACAAATTGAACAAATATGATAGCTATAATACTAGTGAGTAAATTAACAAAACATAAAACTTAGTTAATGAACTCCACCTATGATACAAGTAGTCAGCCAAAATAAACTTTCAATAGACCAATTAAAAGATTACTTGAGTTGTAAATATGTGCTAAATTGGATAGTCTATGAAAAGGTATATACTATGAAATTAAGTGCACGGGGCAAGCCCCTTGCTCTAAATTTCATAGTACCTACTATTTCATAGACTATCCGATACATAATGTTCAAATTCTTGGATACTTTTAACTTTAAAGCTACAACATATTTTTTAAGACAGTATAAGCTACCAATCAAAAGCAAATCAAATTTGAACACTTTTCATAAACATATCTGTTTTTCTTGTCTGAATTTCTTTCGTAGGAGAGTGGGGATCTTGCACCAAATCTGAATTTTATGGGTGCCTTAGGAACTCTAAAGATGCAATGATACCACCAATTATGTCTTCAAAGGTTATATCAAAAGTTAGTTTCAAATATGGACGAGTTGAAGTTGTGGCTCAGATGCCGATCGGAGATTGGATATGGCCAGGTAAAAATATGTATAGATTGATATGTTTCGGTTCAGTTTTTGTTAAAACAATGTTTTTACTGTTTATGTTGTAAAGGTAAAACATTTTCCCCTTGAGAAATCATAGCAACATCCTCTGTAATTTTGCTATTTTTGTTTATACCTGATGTATATTTTTTATCTATTATAACTATTTTATAAAACGTATAGGTATATTCTTTATATACATTCAAGAATAAATGAACGTTTTACATATCTATTATCTACTGGCTGGCAGTAAGGAGGCCTTGAATTGATAATAATATAGCTATGCTAAGTAAAGAATTCGTGCAGTATTTCTGTAGATGATTTTTTTCAAAATATGTTCTATTTAAAAAAAAAATGGATATCCGTCAGCACACCAGTCAAAACAATTATAACGCCTTCAACTTGGTCCAAGCGTAATTTCTTTAAAATAGACTACCACATGGAAGATGTTTGGATTATTTAAAATCAATAGGCATGCCTTACAAGAATTGGGTTCAAGAAAATAAATATTAAGGCTACTAGAACCACTTTTTTAATGAAATTTTCGTTTAATCATTCGTATTTGATAGATTTGTGCGTGCAATCATAGTTCGTTGACCTTGTTAAAATACTAATAAGTTGAAGTTCTATTTTCTTTTTAGCATATTGAATGTACTAAATATGCACTGTTTATCAAATTTATTCACCGAACAATTTTTATATATCAGCTATTTGGTTGATGCCAAAGGAAGAACATTATGGAGGATGGCCAATGTCTGGAGAAATAGATATGGTGGAAACGAGGTGTGAGTATCATTATTTCTATGGAATTTAATATGTGTAGATAAACTGCGTTGGTTGCCAGAAGAATATAACGAAAGAAAAGCAACATTAAATCGTCGTCAGCGTCAGGGGTAAGGCGTTTATACGAATAAATTGAGATTTAAGACAGAGTTAAGTCTGATTCATATCATGGCTTACATCTAGAATTTGCCAATTAGGACCGTTTGACATATAACTACCAAGTAATACAATATTCCACGGTTTATGCCTTCTATCACGATTTCCTTTCAAGAGTGTTGCTGCTTACAAACCTATTGAACCAATGGTTCTTAATGGTAAAGTTTAAGTCAACCCCTCTTATGTTTTACGGACGCCAATATGATTTGGTTGATCGTTATGGAACATCTTTATCGTGGATACTAGTATGTTCCACTTTCTGTAACAACAGTATTATTCTAGTATTTTCGATCGTGCAATCAACGAATCCGACTTGCCATGAGCAACTACTCATGCAACTAATAGCGTAGGAACTGTTTACTCTTCCTGCGCACATGAGTTGGATGGGGTTAATATTGTTCAATAAGTACAAATGTAGTTTTCTGCATAGTGTTTTGTTCTGGATTTGTCTTTTCAACGTTTTTTTTATTCACAATGGTGTTTGAATTGTTTCTCATTTTGTCATGTCGGGGTCTTTAATAGACAACTATACGGTATTTGTTTTGCTATTTGTTGAAAACTGTACAGTGACCTAGGGTTGCCCACATCCACGTCATTTGGAGTGTGTTGGATCGTTGTCTCATTGGCAATTTCCTTATCTTTACATTGTCTGTTTTCCCTCCACTTATGTTTTGGTTGTTAGACCTGAATATAGACGATTAAACCAGTGAAACCTACCGATTAGCATTCATTTTCATAAAGAACTCTCAGAATCACAAGCTTAGAAAGCCATAATTGTACTCTTGCACAGGTAACTATAAAATCAAAAAGTCTTATAAATAATTGAAACCGTCTTGTGACAACTTTGCCACTTAAGGTGGTACGTGTAAAATCATTTTTTTAAAAGAAATGTCCAATTTAAGTTATGGCATTGAGATATCTTAAAAAATAAACTACTTTTGACGCATACCCTACATAAAATACATAAACAAAGAATATCCCTCTGTTCGTACTTTTTTTGCTTTAAATAGGTTAATGAGAGTATTTTTTATTGCTCTTGTACAGATGCATTGCACAATATACAATCAACATCCAAGGTCTTATTTGAATATTTTAAAGGTAACAGGCAATTTGGAGATATTGGAATACAGCGTATGATGTCAACTCTTCACTGGGGACCTCACTGGGATCAAGACCCTTGGCAGAAAACTACAGCTGCTAAGTAACTCGTTAACGGTCTTTTATTAAACATAGACTGATAGTTGTGCTTTATAAAGTCATGATCAGTGGATACCTGGTGACAGGATATATAAATCCTAGTCAGAATCCGTTCTGATAGTTTCTCGAAGATTTGTTTTGATACGTATGAATAAGACTTAAGTTTTATATTTATTTAAATAGTCATAACATTAGACATTATGTGACGCTATAGTCTTGTTGGTTTTCCTGTTTGAATGGTTTTACACTAGTCATTTTTGGACCCTTCATAGCTTGCTGTTCGGTGTGAGCCCAGGCTCCGTGTTGAAGGCCGTACTTTGACCTATGATGGTTTACTTTTACAAATTGTGACTTGGATGGAGAGTTGTCTCATTGGCACTCATACCACATATTCTTTTATCTATTGGCATAGAAATGTACGAGATTTAAAAGGGAGAGATGATTTCTTGGTCATCCTATGCAGCTTCACTGACACATTTCATATAATCTTATAGTGTTTTAATTGCAGAAATCTATCTAGTGGAAATTGGGGTGAAAAAATGCATAAGTACACAATGGATTGGAATGAAGATCACATCATGTAAGTAAATACTATCACTTTAACATAAAATAACATACACTGTAATTGGTGGCCTTCTGCTGTGTTCTGCGCTTTGGTCGAGTTGTTGTCTTTTTGACACATTCCCCATTTCCTTTCTCAGTTTTACTGTAATAAGGTTTTTCCATTCGTATACGTCATCTTACTTATCCGTTATATTAGTAGCCGAAAACTTTCAATATGCAAAGCAATATTCGGAAATATTATTACCTTATAAATCTAGCCCAAAAAACCAAAACCATTTATTACATATCCTCATCCCACCATCCAAATGCATGGCAACAACCTGGTAATATCTGCGAAAACTTGCCATAGGCTGAATTATTAGCCACTTATTGCAGTGTTGTCATGCTGAGATATCTGTTTCATAGACATTATTTTATAGATTTATACATTTTCAGCCTGTCTGTGGATGACGAACCTGTACTAACGGCAAACACACCACACAATGGATATTGGGGACTTGGAGGATTTTCTGGAAATAACTTGTGGTCTAATGGTGGTCGTGATGCACCATTTGACAGAGAAGTAGATAACTTTTTCATATTAATTTTGACATTACTCCATTTTAACCTTGAGATAGATGGTCCCATGAAATCTAACATTTTAAAAGAGAGGCAAAAGATACCTAAGAGACATTCAAACTCATAAGTTTAATATGCTTATTAAAGCGTAAAACCCACCATAACATATTGAAACTGCAATCTACAGTCAGAGCAACAACCAATATTAAGAACACTGGCACTTAAAAAGCATGGAAGTTTACACAGACTATTTTTAATTTTCATTACTAACTCTAAGCGTTTCTGATGAAGGTTAATAAAAAATGTGCATTGTACAAATTAACAGAATTTCTATGTATAAGTTATAGATCGGTACCATTGCAGACCGTGTCATTTATTAATGATTTGGCCAATATTTATTTCGAATAATTTTTTATGAATTCTTAGTTTATAATTTAACCAGTACTACAAAGGCCACGTTGCAACACCTTTTGACAAGTTGACTTTTGATTTATTGCAATTGGTTTAGTAAAATAAATTCTGGATTTACCTTCATCAGGAAGGCTCAAAGCCAAATATTTGAAAGCCGAGAATGTATAAGGACCGAAACAGTTGAAGAGCTATATGACCAAAAAAGTGCCTAAAACAATAGCCAAATCCATCCAAGGTCAACTTTGCCTGAGGGAGTTGAAACCTAAGTTTCTTCATAATTTTTAAATTTATAAACGGACAATTTTAGAAAGGGTTGTTATAAATCATGCCAGTACCGAAGTACTGACTACTGAGCTGATGATACCCTCGGGGACTGATAGTCCACCAGCAGAGGTATCTACCCAGTGCTGTAAAATAAATGAAAACAACACGTTATTAAAAAAGCGCTTTTCTGGATTTACCTTTTAGGATAGGTTACGATTTATAACTCTCAAAGTATTTATCCCACTTGTGTGCCTCAACTTTTGGCTCTGAGATTAACACAGAAAAGAACATTGATAGCAGGCAAAACAAAGATATACTTAGATTATGTGTTATATTTCTAGCTTAACTATAATGTCAGGGTTAAATTATATATAGTGGTAGTAACATACAGAGGAAAATTAAAAAGAAAAGGGTTACATATGATTGAAGTTTCCTTTATGGTTTTCTAAAGTTCGGAGATTTATATGTGTTAGCTTAAGTCTTTTTGAAAAAAAAATTACAGAAACAATGTGTAGCAGGCAATAAGTCCCTGTTCTGATCATTTAAATTTGCTTGTATCTCAAAAGTTACCATAAATCAATAGCTTCATTTTCATTAGTAACATGTTTCACGATTAAGTGCCTTCCTCATATTTTGCTGTTATTTCATCTTTTTTTCAATTGTTTGGTTTTCAGTATATTATGACGTCGAATATGTCAACGTTTATGTATTTTCATTGTGATTGCTCATATTGTGTGTTATATCTTCCTTGTGGTAATATCGTCCTTTGCAGCTATTTCGAAATTTTACAAATTGTATTTTTTTTGTGTTTCCTTTATCAAAGAACAGTTTTACTGGTGAGTGATGTTAATTAAATATTTATAATTCGAGTGAGAAGTCTTTCTTCAATAATTTTCAGAAAACTCATCTTCTATTGTGTGAAGCGCTTTGTGCTGCCCAGGGATTATTTCGTCCACCTTCAGATACGATCACATAATCACATGGTTCCCATAGGATTGTTTCGATTGAGTCCATGATACGAGTGATAATGCATCCATGTTTTTCGAGTTCTTTAACTAACAGAATATTCTTTGACATAATGCACCTTTGTTTTTTCGAGTTCTTGATCTAACGGAAATTCATTGTCATAATGCACCTATTTCTCCCCGAGTTATTGAACTAACAAAATCTTTATTGACATAATCCACCCTTGTTTTGTCGAGCTCTTGATCTAACAGAATCTCATTGACATAATGCACTCAAGTTTTTTTTCTCGATCTAACAGAATCTTCATTGTCTTAAAGAACCCTTGTTTTTTATAGAGTTCTAGATAGTGATGAACTATTGTTGTTGTCTAAGAATTTATGTGCTTTGCTATTTCTTTGTATTTTAATTAAAGCACAACTGCAATTAAAGCCCCTCCTAAACCAGTAAAAACATCATGAAATTCTCAGTCGAACATCTTCAACATTCAATACAGTTCGGAACCTTTCGTCTTGTTTTGTTCAGAATTGTTTCCTTTAAACTAGAGGGACATGTATAGAGCAAGGTCTATCTACTCATGGTTCCTCTACATGAAGAAAAGATTTTCTCGATATTTATGATTTTTTCGTAAAGATGGAGATAATAATATTTGTTATAATGCTGAAACCAGTCGTAAACGAACACATTTGATATTGTTGATCAAATTATAATCGCATAAAGTAATTACTGCTTCAAATGAATTATTAAAACTTTAACTAACAACCTAACAACTGTTTTACAGTTTTACCTCCAAATGAATACAGCAGTTGGAGGAACAAATGGATTCTTTCCTGATGGTGTACAAAATGCTGGCTACAATAAACCGTGGGCAAATCATGACCCAAAGTCACCTGAAAAATTCTGGAATGCCCGTAATCTCTGGATGCCAACGTGGCATGGAGATGATTCAGCACTCAAAATCGACTCTGTTCGCATTTGGAAGAAAGTTTAAAGTATATTGTATTTGAACAAAAATGGTTTGCATGATTATGTAACACATATGTTGGTTTAAGGCTATTATGTTACTGTAATGTATGTGTACCGATTTGAAATAAAACTTCTATGTTTTTGTTTATGTCATATTGATATTAAGTCAAAAATGATAAGAAAAATACAATAAAAACGCAGATAAATAACAATACTATCAGACTTTTTCAATGCAAAAGTCAACTTATTATACATCATACATTTATATTCATATATATTCTTCTAGCTCCTTGATTAACCAAGCAATGTGAGAGCTGTAATTTTGAATAAGCTACTTTTAATCGTTCCCTCAACGGGATTCAAACCCAGGATGTTAAAACATTAACGGCAGCAAGGTCTGAAGACCCAAATAGCCAACACGGATTTATTAAAATATGGCTTTAAATACTTTAATTTGTCGGATGGTGTCTTTTCTGTCTATATTCATAGCGAAACCTGTTTGAACCGACCCTTGTGTAAACTTAAATATCAATACATACAGACATTCAACATTTAAAACCGAATATTTTCAATCCTAAAGAAGTTGTTAGACCACAAGAAGTTCGGCTTAGAGATCCTGATTATAATAATAGTTGAACATCAACAGAGTAATCCGGTATTGAGAAAAGATACAAACCTTCCTCGTTCCGAAATAGTTAAGGTCATATCAATTTAATGTCAAGAAAAGGATTGACGGAAAATGTTAACTGCCGAAGGAAAATCCATAAACTACCATCAACGGAATAATTTTACATGAAAAGGGAATAACACAAATATCAAACTTTAAGGTATGTTAAAAAATCAATATCTATTTACACTGGCCGCTCCCCGGGAAAAACTATCAAATGATATTCAATGAAACATTTGGGGACGGGTATATGTTCCAATTGTCGTAACCATAATGACGTCATCTATTCCTCGAATGTGACCTTTCCGAAATAGACTTGTCACCGGGTTTGTACTCACATTAGCGCCAAGACGAACAGGATCTGCTTACCCGTCTTGAGCACCTGAGATCACCCCCGGATTTGGTGGGATTCGTGCTACTGAGTCTATTGTTCATGTTGCTCTTTGTAAACTGTTGTTTAATTTTCTTTCGATATTTTTTAGTTTTTTACCATGACATTGTCAATTAGTCCCCTTGGTATCTTTTGCCTCTCTTTGGTGATTGACTGAAATCTTTCAAATTTTTCCTCTTTTTTTATTACAGCAATTTTAGTTCGATTTCCTACCTACTCAGAATCAATGCCCCTAAAAAACATAGTCGTGTATTCATACATCCTTAATCTGCTGTTCGTACTACACACTGCGAAAAACCTGTCCTCATTGATCCCTTCCTGACGATCATCGTGTTGCTATCAATGATAGAAACAATCGGGTGCTTACGATCTACATAATTTGGACCAGAGCAATCAACAAATGAAACAATCAATAAAAAGACGACTGAGACGAAATTCGGACTAGCAGATAAAGTTCATACGATGGCCTTCTCGTATGTTTGTATAATTGCCGTTCTGAATCAATAATTTACGCATTTACATTGGAGGAGTAACATATAAGTGGTGTTTGCAACCTTCATTTTACATTGCATTCTTTATTTTTATATATCTAAGTGTACATCGTCCCAATTGAATAGAGCAAGTCTATGTACACATTATCTGTTAGCTAGTTATACATTATGTGTTCTCACACGCCTTAGAAGAAGGATTCTGGTTTCAGGAGGACAAATAAGGTCTGACTAGCAAGTCTCAAGTTATAAGACGCATGTGGTCTTTTCCCGCTATGAGTTCATGTGATTTCTATCTATGGGCCATGTGAGGTATTGCCACTTCTTGGCTTCCTTCAGTAGGGAGTTATAACCTTAGTTAGGTTCTCTTGTATGTATGGGTATAATTTGTGTTTGAACACATCCAATGGCTGATGCAAAGATGGTTGTGTTTCATTGTCGTTGAAACAGTAATATTGATCACTACCTAGATTCTATATTGAATGTTAAAGAATTTATTATCCGATTTTTTTATTGTTGACTTTCGGAGCCTTATACAATATATAGATATTTGATTTGTATACTAGTTCCTGTTTCTGTTTTCCTTTTCCTTTATCTGGTTTGCCTTTTCTTCGTTACTCCTGTGTCAGTACCTGAGAAAAATATAATATAGAAATAATGAAAAATGTGGTATGATTGCCAATGAGAAAAAATCCACATAATAAAAGACGTGCATGTAAACAACTATTGGTCTCTGTAAAGCCTTCAACAAAGGCAAATCCCATATCGTAGAGCCTCAACATGACAAAATGTGAGATAATTCAAACAAGAAATCCAACGGCCTTGGTCACAACAGAAAAACAAAATAGGACACGTGAATTATTTTATTATCAATGTACTGTTTTTATTCAATATGTAGTCTGTCAAATATTTAAATTTAAATTTAGAGTTATTTTAAGACAAATGGCAAGGGATTGTACATTGGTCATTGTTTACATACTGTTATTAAGATTAATTATGTTGATTAATTATTCATCGTATATTTTTGATTTGCTTTTCACAATAAATTAGAGTAAACAGTTTATGGGTGAACGAAATAAGAAGCTAATTTTAAACTTGCCTCATTGACTTACTTTATATGCAGATGTTTAAAAATAGCTTTCGTATTATGTATACTTTGTCATCCGTTTTATCTGGAGATCTAGATATGATCGATTTTAAACCGAAGGTTGTCTCCGTAGTAGCTGGCAGAAAGCCAATGTTTATTCATATAAAAGAGATGTTTATTGATTTGGCCGCAAAGTAATCTTGTTGCGGATCCTATAGCATCTTACAACGGTAAGCGTGTCAGTTTTTAATTTATTTTTCTTTTAAACTCGCACGTTACCATAGATATATTTGGAAATGCTTCATGTATATCAGATATTTGAAATAATACGATTTAAAAATATTTTGAATATGTTATTTTTGTTTCTATTTAAACATTTTTAAAGTTATAAGTTAAAGCCGTGAAATATCAGAATGTTGTTCCTACTGCAGCTGAAAATGAACTTGAAAACTATTGTTAAAATTGTTTCATTGCCTGACTATTATTTATATTGCATTTTCGTCAGTAATTATAATAAGTCGTTTTCTACATGCAAATAGTAGATAGTTGTTGCATGATCACAACCACATACTGAAATGAAATGCATGCATTTGTATAGAAAACAAAGTGAAGGTATATTTAAAAATCAGCATTCAAAGTCGCCCCCCACCCCCCCAAAAAAAAACAACAACAAAAAAACAAAAACCAAAAAAAAAAAAAAAAAAACTCACCAAGATGGGAGAGCCGGGATAAAACCTTTATCTAGTTTTATAAGATTGCAGCTTCTATACTTGTAATGTATAGTTACATCTTTTTTTTTAAAGAACTACATTATATTGCAAGCCATGGATAATAAGGAATGGAGGGCTTCTTTTTTGGTAAAAGAAAAGCATTATGCGCCGGAAATGAACAAATTACCAGAAGATCCAAAGAAACAGAAGCGTTCTTGGTTTATTGGACGTAGAACGAGTGTTGACAGTGTTGGTAATGATCGACGAGCCAGTATCGACGGCGACACTCGGGATAGACGAGCAAGCGTAAGTAGTGTTGAGGATGCACCTGTTGGTTCGCCGATCATGTCATCAGTTTTACAGGGACAATTTCAAGCCAGAACTACACCTCAAGCCATCCAAGATACCAAAAAGATGTTCCGCGAATTTGACTTCAAATGATAAGAACCAGTGAAATATAAGAATGGAAAATACTTTGAATGATTCATGTTCATGGACGGTGCTCACAATTCCCAAGTGTAAATGTTTTCATGAATCAGTGTCTATGTTCATCTTCACGACTGGAACTGTACTGAGTTCTCCAGTGTCAATTCTAAAATCACCGAACTAGTTGTGTCTTAATTTATCATATCATTAGTCAGGGAAAAAAAACCAAATGTGAATATTCAATAACCGAAAACTGTACTGTAAATGTATTCCTGAATCAGTGCCTATGTTCATCTTCACTGCAGGAACTCTATTGAACTTTCAAGTGTTATTGCTTAAATCACAGAATTATTTGTGACTAAACATAAAATATCATTGGTCAGGGACAACAAAATAAATTGTGAATATTCAAAAACCAAAAACTGCAAGTGCAAATGTTTTCCTTAATCAGTATCTATGTCCATCTTCACGACGGGAATTGTAGTGAGTTCTACAGTATTATTAGTATTTCTTAAATCACCGAATTAGTTGTGACTAAATAAACTGTATCACTAGTCTGCGAAAACAAAATGATTGTGAATATTCACGACGGGAACTCTGGCGAGTTTTCCAGTGTTACTTCTTGAAAAAAACACTGAATTGCTTGTGACAAAATATATTAAATTATGAGTGAACAAAAACAAAATAAATTGTGAATAATTGACACTTCAGTATAAATGTTTTCCCGAATCAGTGTATATGTTCATCTGCACGACGTGAAATATATTGACTTCTAGGTTGTTGTTTCTTAAAATGACTTGTGAAAAAATATATTAAATTATGTGTAAAAAAAATAAAAATATAATTGTGAATAACTAAAACTAGAAAGATAGATAATATATGTTATTGTTAAAACAAAATGTATATATATATGTATATTATTTTATTGTTTTTAGATGACTGTGAATATATAACTGCATTTCCAACGTTATATGTTTTTCCTTCTTCATTACTCGTGTGGATTCATTATAACTTTTTCAATATATATATAATCAAATATAATAACATTAACTGTACTAGTCAGCAACAGCAACGATACACAAGCTTGAACTCAAATTTATAACGAAATATGATCAATAGGAAACACTGTTAAATTAACAAATGAAAAATGTTCAATTGCAAAGCATATGCAAATGACATGTATGATAAAGAAAATCTTACCAAGTTAGAATGTAAGAAAACACCGTGTTCATGAAATCAGAGATCAATTTTATTAAGCGGAAAATTAGGACAAAAATAAGCACGAAATTTCTAATTTCTAATTTAGATTCAAGTATTTTCGGAGGTATTCAAAATTTTAATCAGACCATGTTTGTGTTAAAAGTTTTAAGTTCTGAAACCGGTTTTCGAAATTTTGGGTGAAGAATGCTTTTTGATATCAATAAGGTTGCGAATAAAAAAAAATCGTGTGTTTGATTAAAATCAATGATTTTCATAAAAAAAACCAACAAAATATTTAACCAACTGGTAAATGTTTTAGCATGGTACAGTGTATCCAATTTTTATCAAGTTATACATGGAAAATGCTTTCCTCTGTATAATCTTTTACTGACTAGTATGTATTACTAACTATTTATCATTTATCAATAATGCTTTAGCATGTTTAGGGACACGGGTAAAGCTGAATAAGTACGATGTAAGCGTTGGCTACAGACAAAAGTATTTCGGTCACTTAGATAATAAAACACAAGAGAAATATTTTCAAAACAAGCAAATGATCAACGGCGCTAGGTAGACATTTTATACAAACAGATCTTTACCTGTTTTAATTCTAGATCGTATGAAATTTCACAGCACTGATACATGGCATTTCCACCTAATGTTTCGTATCATGTGCACCACTTGCATATTAGCCCTTGTTCAAAATGGCAGCATAAAAAGTTATAATAAACTCATCAAGGATACCAGGCTTATAATTTGAACGCCAGATGGGCGTTTCGTCTTAAAAAAGATTCATCAGTGACGCTCGAATAAAAAAAAGTTAAAAGGTCAAATAAAGTTAGAAGTTGAAGAGCATTGAGGACCCAAATTTCCGAAAGGTTTTTACCAAATACAGCTGAGGTAAACTATGCATTGGGAAGAAAATCCCTATTATTTCGAACAATTCAAACTTTTGAAAACAGTTAACTTAAAACGGTAACTCTACCAGAACAAACATAAAAAAGAAAATAATATACAACACATGGACTTAGTAAATTGGACAATGCAGGTAACTAGAAAACTGAAGATATAATTGACAGACTGACAGACTGACAGACAGACAGGAAAGTGTTGAAACTGTAAAACGAAATATAAAAAATTTAATTATTTCTTTGGTTTGCACTTATCGCCAAGGAAATTCCGAATTATGAAAGTTGATAATCACATGACAAGATGGGAAAACACTTAACATATTTAATGATGGAACAAAGGAATTTAGATATTAGATATTCCTATTCACAAAGCAAGATTGAATGCCTCATTGGTGCAACAATTACATTGATAAATTTTTCTCTAAGAAACATCACGTTACGTTCGACAACATGTGATGTCGATTTTCGTATGATTTTTGGTCCTATCGGACATTTTCTAGATACTTTTTTGTATTTAAAATTCTATGTCTCTTCGTCACCAATTTTTATACAATGACAACATCAGATCAAATGATCATATTTAAAGACCGGATATAGTTTAAGCATATAATCTGCTATGCGGCACATCTAGCAGCTCCCACACATCAACATTCAGGTTTACATGGTGCGGTTCATACTTCCAAGTGACGACTACAATTTGGTCATTATCCTGGTTAAAGAAACAAACAAAATCTTCTACGGTAAGTATATCTACTATATCTTGTAGAATGTTTCTGTCCGAACTTATAAAAGGAATGTACAGCTTAATATGCAATGCTTAAGTATACCCGTATTATATAAGTTACACATAGAACATTTGCCTGGTTAAATAGCTATGGTTCCTAATTTCACATGCGTAATAAATTTCGAATTGAAAGATCAATGGGTTACCGCTATTCTTTATAAATGATGGTCAGTTAAACATGTTAGTATTTAAGCGTAGCATTTACGTTCTGGTCGCCGTTCAACGTAGTGTTTCCTTTTGTTTTCTCATTTATGTCTAAAAAATTGTTTAATAATTGTGCTCCACAGAAATTTGTCTGGAAAGAAATTTTCTGCCCAAAAGTTTTCAAACAAAACGTCAAATTAATATTTCATCAACATGAAAGTCAATAATATTTGACTGGAATCACAAGCTAATATTTTTTCCATACTAAAGTTGCACATTGGTTTATTCATTGTTGTTGGTTTTGCACGACACACCTTCTACAGATCACAAACCAAAATATCCAAATCCTGTGTGGCGTGGTCAAATACACCAAAGAGTTGGGTATAGGTATATAGGCAGTCGGCAGTTGTTAGCTATTAGTCATTAGTTGTTAGTTGTTAAAAAAAATGTAGTTGTTAGTTCAATAAATTACATAGAATTAATAAATACATATTTTATCTTTTCCTTTTTTTTCTGAAAAGAGCAATTACTTTTGATTAAACAGAAATAGTTTCATTATCTCAACTGAACCAAGTGAACCCTGTGTAAAGAATACCAGACGCTGTATAAATGTCAACAATTTATTTAGTTCTAAATGATATGATATCTGACACTAAAGTGACTTGGTTTAGTTCTTCGATTTTGTAAACAAAAGAAAAAAAACATTAAAACTGTGTCTCTAGAAATATATAAAACCACTGATGTTTTCAAAAACACATATTGTGAAAAAAAAACCCATATAAATTCATTTGTTTTTCAACTTATCTTTTATATAGTATTTGATCTGTAGCTTGATCTGACCACTTTTTCTATCTTTCAACCATGATATATTTATATCCTTTGGTTTAATAACCATCAACTGTTTTCACTTATAGTTTTTGTAATATCCTCGCCTTTGGTATTGTAAGGAAATTCTTGTTTGTTTGCTGTTTATTTCTTTCTTCTTCCCCTGTATTGCTTAGATTGATGGACCATTTCGTATTTTTCTTTTGATGAGTTTTTGTATTTTTAGGAGTTTTATCACTACTTTTTTTCGAAGTTTTTATTCCTTTTTACAGGTTTTGTAATGAAAACAATAGAGGATTATTATGTCATATGTAAATAAATTGACATTTACCAGATGTTTTATAGCTTTGAATTTGGAATGAAATCTTAACTGCTTCAATTTTCTGTCATCAAATTGATACATTATCAGTCCTTTTGTATGGAAATAGGAATCACTGCCCTACATGTATTTTGTTTTTTACTCATCTAATTGCCAAAACCTGAACTTTTTGCTGTTTAAAAATAGCACTTCTATGTAATAATATTTATACAACTCAGAATAATACCAACACAGTTATAACATTAAATTTAATTATAACTATTTGTTTTAGTGATATTTTAATGACTTTGATGCTGGAGTTGGACCTGTATACTCATAAATATGTCTGCATGGTAACAGTTCTGTAAACAAAGTTTTACTTTCAGAGACATAAACCAAAATTTATGTGTAACCTGTCCAGTGTATTAGGCTATATACAAGCCTTTTCTTTGTTTTAAATCCTTCATCTTGTCCTTATTTCTTCTAAGAATGTAGTTGCATGAAACAAAAAAAAATGTTTTGAATTTAAAGTGACATACCTAAAATCGTGAAAATTTGAGAAGACAGACATCTTTCAGACAGATTAAGAAGAATAAAGAGGTAAGCACTTTTGTCTGTATATTCAAATGGAAAAAATAATTTTGCATTTTTTTATTTTTTATTTTTACTTTAGAAATATCAACTAGGCATAATGGTTGTTTCTTCCTAGCATTATAGTTAGAATTACCCCCATAGAGAGTATAAAGTACATTTCTTGGAATATGCATGTATATATATATTTTGATAAATAAAAAAGTCCTTGGTACAGAAATTATAGTTTAAAAATAAACTAGGAGATGCGGTGAAAGTGCTAACAGAAACAATGTTCGATTTATAATGTGATTTTTTTGTGTTTTTTAATTTTAAACTATATATATCAAGTACGTCTGTATTATGTGCTACTAGTTTTATTAAGCGGTTTCTATAGGTTGAGCAGATAAATATATAACCATTTCCAACCTTTTTTACAGGTTGCACTTTCCCTGTTGACACTAAAAAAGAGGATATCATGAGTGAAGATTTTGATGTGTAATTTTTTACTGTTTATTCGAGCAACCGCAAAATTTTGCGTTTATATTATGTTATGGCGATGTCTGCGTCGTCGTCGTAAGACATTTTGGTTTTAGTGTAAAAGTGTATGGATCTCTATGAATTTGTAGAAAAAGGTTCCATACCACACAATGACTGGGATTGATTTGAAAGTTATGGCCCAAACCGTTTAGGTATAAGAGACCAGAAAGGGGCCAAAAAACTAGCGGAACTTCTGGTTTCCAGACATTAACTTGAGTATACGTCCTTGGATTTCTATAAAATTATACCACAAGGTTCTAAACCATACAAGGAAGGTGGGGATTGATTTTTGGGGCTATGACCCTAACCATTTGGAAAAAAGAACTAAAACAATACTTTTCCAATGGTTTGTATAAATTGCTTATTTCTGGACTGATTTCAATGGAGTTAAATTCAAAGTCTTGAATTCATGGGGCTCTTTAATATGCTGAATCAAACTCATGTATTTAGATTTAGAATTCTGGTCTCTGTTTTGAATTGGTCTATATTACGGTTCAAAGGGTCCCAAAATAAACTTTGTTCGATTCATCAAAAACTGAATTATTGATTTTCTTTGCATATTTAAGCAAGATAACACAAAGAAACCATGCATAGCTGGATCAGGATTAGTAAAACAGGCCATCTTGACAGACTCGACTTGGGAAAATATAGAAACTCTTGCGGAAGGATCACTGGATAGTGAGTTTTATAAATAAATT